AATTTTTGATGAAATGACTTTAAATTATTGGTTGAAAAATATGACATAGCAGTTTTGGAATCTATCATTGGTTAATTATTTTTGCTGATGTGGCAGTCCTTAAAAGCCTAGAAATCTATTAAAAAGTAAAATTTGTGTTTAGTGACGGCTGATTACATTTCTGGTGAGTCAGAGGCGAGATGATTGGAAACCAAGAATACATTGACTTCATAAAATAAGTTTTTATTTAAGCTTTATAATTGAGTTTAGTGTAATTCGTTTTCAGGTTTTTATGAGAATTTAAGAATTATAAAAAAAAATTTGTAGGTAAAAGTTAAAGAAATTTTGATTAATAAATTATTTAATGAAATGGCTTTAAATTATTGGTTGGAGAAGATGATATAGCAGTTTTAGAATCTATCATTAGTTAATTATTTTTGTTGATGTGACAGTCCTTAGAAGCCTAGAAATCTATCCCTAAAATAAGCTTTTGTTTAAGCTTTATAATTGAGTTTTAGTATAATTCATTTTCAGTTTTTTGAGAATTTAAGAATTATAAAAGTTTTTTTGTAGGTAAAACTTGAAGAAATTTTGATTAATAAATTATTTAATAAAATAGCTTTAAATTATGGGATTCTTGTAAAAATAACCTAAAATTTGATTTGAATTGCAAATCTAACCCACAAAAATCACATTCCCAACATTTACCATTTTGTGTCCAAACAATCTTTCATAGTTTCAGTTATTCACGAAATTGCTATTATTTTTAATTAATTTCTTTTATTTTCGGAAATCCAAATGACCAACTAATCTTCATCTTCCTCACTTATTTACGAAAATGCTCCGAAAGTAGACTTCTCTTGGTCCGAATGAAGTCTACCAGTCAACGTCCATGTTAGTTTTGCAATTGACCGCATGAAAAAGTAGACTTCTTTTGGTCCGAATGAAGTCTACTCTATTTCCTTTGATAACAAAAAAAATGGAGTAGACTTCTCGAGTAGACTTCTTTAGAAGCAGGTCATTTTTGCAATTGACCAACCTTTGACTTTGTAGAGTAGACTTCTCTATGCAAAGTAGACTTCTCCGAGAAGTCTACTTTCGTAAGTAGACTTCTCGCAGGTCATTTTTGCAATTGACCAAAAAGTCAAATATTTTACAATTGCAAAAATGACCTGCAAGAAGTCTACTTACGAAAGTAGACTTCTCGGAGAAGTCTACTTTTCATAGAGAAGTCTACTAATATTTTGGCAATTGCAAAAATAACCTGCGAGAAGTCTACTTTTATCCGAGAAGTCTACTTTTCTTGTTTTTTAAAAAAAATCATTTTTATACAATATATAACGAATTTTTAAGATTTTCGCGATCCTAAGCTTCTGTTATTAAGTTTTCTTGCTTATGTATAAGTTTTGCATGTTTATATTTTATAGGTATAGTCGAATGAGTTTTTATGTTTTATATGATACTTAGCTTATTAAGAGTAGACTTCTTAGTCTACTCTGGAAGTCTACTATGTAGACTTCATCCGACTTTCAGAGAAGTCTACTTATGCAATTTTGATGTCTAATGTGGTTTGGATTTTGTTCTTTTTCACAGAGAATGGCTCACATACCCGCTGTTTATGGAGAATGGGTTAAGAATGAATCAGTGTGGCAGTTCGAGGTGGATAATAGCAAAGGAGGGCAAATGTTGCTCTTAAGAGATGGTTGCACACATGGTGAGCTTCTTGGTGAATGTTGGCAAAGGAGGGCGAATAGCAAAGGAGGGCGAATGTTGTCACCTTTAAGTTATGTAAAATTAATGTCTTTAAGAAGTCTACTCGAGACAATGAGAAATCTACTTCAGAAGTCTACTCGAGACAAGAGAAGTCTACTCGGTTGACAAATTATATGATATAAATGAGAGAAATGTCCCTCTGAATCACTTTTAAGTTATGTAAAATTAATGTCTTTTAGAAGTCTACTCGAGACATAAGAAGTCTACTCGAGACAGGAGAAGTCTACTCGAGACAAGAGAAGTTTACTCGGTTGACAAGTTATATGATATAAATGGGAGAAATGTCTCTCTGAATCACTTATAAGTTATGTAAAGTTAATGTCTTTAAGAAGTCTACTCGAGACAGGAGAAGTCTATTTTGTAGAATAGATAAACATAGATAATTTAGGAATTTGATACAAAACATTCAATGCAATTCAACATTACATAGAAAATAACCCTCTAAACAAACAAACATTTAATGATCACTAGTTATAAATCTTAAAACTGGCATAAGAAATTACTAGTAAACTAAAATCTCTGAAAATTATGTATGCAGCTGAAGTCTGCTTGAGAAATCTGCTCAAGATCGAGAAGTCTACTCGAGAAGTCTGCTCAAGATCGAGAATTCTACTCGAGAAGTCCACTCGAGATCGAGAAGTCTACTCGAAAAGTCTACATTCAGATCTGCAGAAAAAATCAACAAAATTCAGCTCTGTAACAATAGCGAAAATTTTAGATCTAGAACAAAATCTAATAAATTTATACAACAATAAACTCAGATCTATAAATATAAACTTAGATCTACAACAATAAGCTCAAATCTAAGCTAATAAGCTCGGATCTATAATAATAATCTACTATATTTATAACATTCAGATTTGTACAAAAATCAACAAAATTCAGCTTTGCAATAATAACAAAAAATTAACAAAATCTACAAAATTTATACAACAATAAACTCATATCTACAAAAATAAACTTAGATCTACAACAATAAGCTCAAATCTATAATAATAAGCTCAGATTTGCAATATGAACACAAAGCAAACAAAAAGAGGAACACAAAAGCTCAGATTTGCTTACCACTACCATAACCTGCAAGTGAGAGGAGGTTGAATGCAAGATAGAGAGGATGGAGAGGATATTGATAGCAAGAGAGGAAGGAGAAGAAATTCATGGCCAGAGAGAAGAGAGAAGAGAGAGAGGCAGTTTTTTAGATAGAGAGAGACTTTATTGTTAATACAATTAGGTTAAACTCTCCTTATATATGTAGAAAAAAATTCGTGTAAGTAGACTTCTCCAAGAAGTCTACTCGAGAAGTCTACTCGAGAAACCGAGAAGTCTACTCGAGAAGTTTCTTAGTATTGATTTTTATCATAATTTATCTATGATGATTTAAATTGATTATTTTCTGTCAAATTTTATTTTTGATAGGTGTAAAAAAATATATATTTGTTGTTATGTATCTAATTTTTTTTATCAAATTATCTTTTATGATTTTTAAAATTAATTGTAAACATATTATTAAAAAGTAGACTTCTTGGAGAAGTCTACTTAACTTCTCGAGTAGACTTCTCTGGGATAAAATAGTAATTGAGGTTGGCGTTTTTTTGTTTGGTCATAAGGGTTAAAATTGTAATTTCACTATTCCTGTGAGTTATTTTTGTCAAACATGCAATATGGGGTCTAGTTTTGCATTTCAACTCAAGTTTTGAGTCATATTCAGTAATTCCCCCTTAAATTATTGGTTGGAAAAGATGACATAACAGTTTTAGAATCTACCATTGGTTAATTATTTGTGCTGATGTGGCACCTCTTAGAAGCCTAGAAATCTATTTCTTTTATATAAAGGAGATGATTTTAAATTTTTAATTGTATATTCATTTTCAAAAGTTACAATTTTAATGTTTAATTTTTTTAGTTTAAATTAGTTCGCAATAAAGCTAGCTAACTCTATCGATCATATGTTCGTCTCTGTGGCTATGAGTTCTTCAGTGTCTTCTCTTCAAATGTCAATCAATTAATTAATGTTTTTTTTTTTTGAACATTGCAGTTAATTAATGTTGATTTCATAGTTTCGCTCCCGGCCCTACCACCCTTGATTTATCTCCATCTCTTCCTGAAATAGATATTACATATTCCCTCCATTTTTTTATTATATGATGTTTTAGGTTTTTTTCTTGTTTTTAAAAATTTGATGTTTTAAATTTTATCTAATATATTTAGTTTTACAAGAAATTTTTTAGCATTGAAAAGAAAAAAATAATATTAAAATAATAATAAAAAACAAAAAGTAGTTAAAAGTAAAGAGAAAAATAATAATAAAATTATTATCTTAAAATGTGTGAAAATCTTAAAACATCATTTTAAAAAAACGGAAGTATGTTTTAAGTTATTAGTCATCGCATGACTGCTGTGATTGTGAAATCCGACTATCTCATAAGTCGTGAGATCTGCGTTGTCGCAAAAGATATTATAAACTTTTCTTTTTGCAAAGAAAATTTTCTAAGTTATGGAGGAAATAGTAATAAGAATCTTAAAACTATATGTATGATACGAACATTTCAACAATGGACAAAAATAAAATAAAAAGAAAAGCCAAACCTTCATTTTTTTTTTCTTTACTGAAGCATCATGACATTATTTACATATATCAGATTAGCGATAGATCTAAATAGAACAATTTTCATGAAATAATTATTGTAACTTTCGGTTTGGCTCTCCCCACCATGCGATCAAGACATTCAGACTAATGTCTACGCTCCATGATAGTTCACCACATATATACATTTAATGACGACATAAATACTAGACTAAGTCATTAATGTACTGATTAGCTTAGTCATTACTCATTAACAACGTTTATTAACCTTACTTGTATATATGTCAAAAAAAAAAAAACCTTACTTGTATATAAAGTACTTTCTACAGCTGCTAATCACAACCATGAGAGTTTTATTTTCACATTTCATCTTTACTTTTCTCAATCTTTCTCCCTTATTCGATAACAACTTCTAGTTGCAATATGGTATCACACCGAAATCAAATTATATTTCGCCATTTTTCTTAAAAACCCTATATATGATTTTTTGTTAAACCTATATATGAATTTAGATATGCTTGATCATTGTTGACGCTTATTGCAAAAATATCCAACTTCCTAGTTACTGAAAACAAATTATCATCGAATAATTATTCTGGACATAAACATGAAAAAGTAACCGTGATGGGTATAGCACATGCTAATCTGGATTTGATTTGAGCCGCTAAAGCTTGCTAGCTTGACCAACACCATTGTGTTTGAGAATGGGTCTAAGTTGCAGCATCCACAGCCTCCCAGTGGCTATGAGTTCTTCATCGTGTTCTCTTCGAATCTCAATCACTGCTGAGTTTAGATCTTCTTTCCTCCCTACCACTCTTGCTTCGATCTTTACTTCTTCCTACATTTTTGCAAACCAAAATCAAAACCAGACCAAACCGAATCAAATTCTAACTATTTTTGTAGGATTTTCTTTATTATTTAAAAAAAAAAACTTAGTAACGTTTGATAAACTATGATAAAATACGATAAAAACTTAGTCCAACTTGAATCTTGGCCGTCGAATATAACGAATAGTTGAGATCAACAGAGGCATGAGATCCTCCGGCTGAGTAAATCGCGGCTGCTCCGATCAGTTCCATCAGCATTCCAATTGCTCCAGTGTGAATATGTTCCCCGTCTCCTCCCTGCAAATGATACTAATAAAAAAAAAGTATACAGAGAAAGAAAGTAGAACAAATATACAACGATAGTTTACCAAAACACGGTCCGTTATTGTCAATTTGCACTGTACGATTCCTTTTCCAACATGGATGACTTGAAGACCTTGTAGGATTAAACCTGGAAAGTGTTCAAATCTTACGTTGTCCAGCTCTTTTAAATACGCTGTCGTTTTAAGAATGGCCGAATCTACCATATTTTCAATTTTTGATATTCTAAAGAGATGAAGCTTTGCAATTTTGTTTTCACCTTCAAAAACTGGTGATGAGTCCAATCATGTTGACAGTCTGTGACTATTTATTGCCAATCCTACATAGAAACTTGTGGACATCATGGAAAGATCACAAACTTTGGGTACAATAGAAAGTTGTGGACATCATGCAAAGACACAAACTTAGGTTTCCGAACGTCATATGATATTGTCTGCTCATTTATGTCATGAGGTGTGATTGATGAATTTGTCTACCAGTATGTTTTTTCTTATGAAACATAGTTATGATCTAATCTAGTTTCACCAAATTATCCATGTTTTTCATACCAAATTTCGTATGAAAAAAAGAAGTATGAATTAATAATATCATTACACAAATATAAAACTGTTGCATATAAATTATATTAAAATCTTTTTTTTTAACTAACTATATTAAAATCTTGCTGGAAAAAATATATACATAAGTGTATAGATATAAACTTACGATAAGAAAATATATATAAAGATTTTTTATCAACCGTGACATGTAGTATATTGGCTTGTGCTAGCGATGTGGCGATTTGTTACCATTCTTTTCAATCTTCATAATATATCTAATGATAAAAATAAAATAAAAATTGTTTTTTTTTTGTGTGTGTTAATTTTAGTGTTCAATGTTTATGAAAAAACTTACATAAAATATACAGTGTTAAGGAACATTTGGAGTAACTTTCGTGTACCGATCTTGTTTCTTTGTGTAAGCTGAACTCGAGAAATATCTTGCATATGTAAACACACAAAAAACGTTTGATGGGCTTGGATAACCCACACATAGAGACAAAAGCAATGTAGTTGCTGAAGTACCTTTATGTAGAACAACACACACAAATATGTCGTGCCAAGAATTTTCATGATGTTTTGGTTAGATAAATCTTATTTTCTAATAATCTATCAATCATATTATTATTTTTGTATTTTTTTTTGTATTCATCTTTAACAGTTATAATTCATTCAATTTTATTTCTTAATCTAGTGATGATTAGGATTCGCTATGGGTTATGTCAGAGTTCGAATTCTTCCACGACAGTTTTATTATATATAGATTGTTCATTTATATGTGTGTCTTATGGAATGAGTCGAAATTCGATTTGGAATGTCTACGGTTAAAACGGTTAAAATATAATAATTATAATTTCTTGTAGTCACGTTTAGTTATACAAATTGAACAACATAGATATCTCGAATCCAAATACACGAAAGTAAAAAAAGAAAAAAAAAACTTATAGATATTGGTTTAGAGATGAATCGAATTTAGTTTGTATTAACCATATGAAGAGAAATTATTCAAAGCTTGCTAAGTTGAGTAACTTCATCTTTGACTTTGAGACTAAGTTGTGACATCCAAATTCTTCCTGTGGCTATAACTTCTCCGTTGCCTTCTCTTCTAATCTCAACAACTGCTCCTTTTAAACTGGCTTTGGTTGCTACCACTCTTCCTTCGACCTCCACTTCTTCCTGGATTTTTTAATTTATTATTTCACAAGTATATAATAATGCATGTAACTTATATATATATATATATATATAGTAGGTTATATATAATACCTAAACCCGTTCTATAAGAGCGTGAATTTTATTAAATTTAATCCTATAGAACAACTGGGATACATATAATAACAGAATTAAATTTTACTTATATTTCTACAAAATACAATAAAACATTAGTCTATATACGAAATTCACCATTTATATTATATTAATTTAATAACAAAATTTTGTAAAAATCGTTACAAAAATTAAAATCTTGATATAATCGAATTTGTAATTTAAATAATAAAAAAAACAATGATTAAGGAGGAAGTCAAACTTGAATCTTGGCCGTGGAATAAAAGGAAGTGTTGAGATCAAGAGAGACATGAAGTCCATCCCCGGCGGTGAACACCACGGCAGCCCCGATCATGTCCATCACCGATGTAATTGCTCCGGCTTGCCAAACTCCATCTTCTCCCTTCAAGAATATCATATTATAATTAGTATACTCGTCAAAAAATTACCAATCAAGAAGAAACAAATGTATACAGAATGTTACCGACACTCGATCGGTAATGCGCAATTTACACCGTAAAATCCCTTTTCCGATATGGATGATCTTGAGACCTTCGAGCATTAAAGCCTCTAAACTGCTACGGCCTCTTCCTTTAGCCACGTCTTGGATATACTTCGTGATGCTTGAAATTGATGAGTCCACCATGTTTTCCTTTTTCTTTATCAATCTATGATCTTCACTTTCATTGTCTATAATATACAGATACAAATATATTTATATAATTGACCAGTGGTTTCCTTGGTTTCCATTAAATCAAGATTGTTTATATGATGAACATGCCTATATTGTGGCCAATTATGATTAAAATATTATTATTCAGTTACCATTATATACATAAGAAGGTGGCAACTTGGATAGGTTAACATTAGCTAGCTTATTTTCTAACATTAGCTAGCTTGATGATAGTTTGTTGAAATGGTGTGCCGGTTTGATGGACCGGTGTACCGTTGTCTGGATTCTCACCTGATGGATTAGTGACACGACCCATTTGGTTGATATGTTAAGTGTAGCACTGATCTTTCTCTTTTTCCTTCGCCATGAAAGGGATTAGTGCCAAGTTGAAAATTTGGGTTTTTCTTATTGATATAACGAACTAACGAAGAAACTTCTATGCCGAAAAGAAAGAAGACATTTCGAATTACGTTAGTTCACATTTAAAGTTTTGACTTTTTAACGGTCAAGAGACTAAAAGTCAATGGATGGATACAAAGTAGACGTCTTAATCAAAGTCAACGCCAGCCTATCCTTCTAATTAGGATTGAACCATTCCCTACTCTGGATTGATTCTGCTATACACCGTGAATGTAAAGCAAAAGAAAACACAAAACATCATTAATTAACCTACTAGATTTCGTGTTTATGCTAAAACTGATCTTGATGTCTTCTACGAAATGATTGATTTGTTAACAAGAAACAGCAACCAAAACCCACGATACAGTATTTACAGATTCAGTACATGAAACTGGACCAGAGATTACAAAATCTCTTCATGTTACAAAATCTCTTCGTGCCTGAGCTAGTAAGCGGTGTCAGTGTCTAGGATAGTTCAGTATCCACGTGTTGTATCGTCCTTACATTCCCAACAGTTGCATCAATCAATAATAATAATTAGAGTCAATATTTCAAGAATAATTTAATTAAATAATACAATTGAAATTGTATCAATCAAAAAATGATATTAATAAATAAAATAAATAACACAACACATATAATTTTTTATAATAAGTCTTTTTTATCCATCATTAAACTCGAATTTTAAGAACTAGTTAAGCCACCACATCAACAAAAATTTAAATTCACATATGTAAATGTGTTTTAATATTATTCAGAAAACATAAACAATTTACGGGAAATATACCCAAAAGGAGAAGAATAAACAAAAAATATCAATCTCACACTTGCATTGCAAATTTTCATACATATAACACACTTGCGGTCCGAAATAATGTCTAAAAATGGAGGTTAACTAAAAGATTAAATGTTCACTTAGACATATATTGATTTGGAGGAGCAAAACTTGGTGCTTCACTCTCGTATTGTCCTTGTCTTTGAGCAAGTATCCCATTCCAACCTGCAATATTAAAAAAATTCTTCACAATATTCAATAAATATACAAACATATACTAATATTTTTCTTATTTTTTTATCAACAAACATATTATTTTAAAATTAAGATCATTTATGTCTTCTATGAAAAGTTCATAGCAACTCTAGATCCAGAAACAGCATATTTGATGGAACTATAAAGCGGAAATCATGTAATTCGAAACGTCTTTAACAAAATATATCTATAAACACTCAAAATAACTTGTGCTGCCTCGATCGATTTAACCCAATAATTTAAATCTATATATAGAAAAGAAAAAAGAAAAAACTTGTTGGACTATATTTGATTTGAATCTGAGGTTTGAGTTAGTACCTAAAGAAGGATCAAGATTCCTAGCCTTGAGCTCTCTGTATTCTTGACTAAGAGAGCAACAAGAGCATAAGACATGAGTGGCACAATCTGAATATGGAGCTTCCACAAGATTAAACTTTCTTCTCATCTTTTCCCTATACTTTGATCCCATCACCCACTGTGAGCATAGAGCCGGCATCATCAACAAGTATATGAAACTTCCCAACGGACAAGCTGCGCATAAACAATTCAAAAACGAGCTTTAAGAGAGAGAAAAAAAAATCTTCTTAATCAAGAATCCGATTCGGTTTCATATTTTGTAAACAGTAACATACTCATCTCTCCTTCATCCATCACTTCCGCTATTTGTCCGAATGTCACACAAGGTAAGATTGCTGTCATAATGGCTTCACAAAGTTTTAAAATTAGTGAAACAAATAGTGTTGAATCTTTTGCAAGAAATATATATAAGACTATAGTAAGATATGGTAGCTAGGATACAATACCATTGGTTTGGTCTTCATGACAATCAAACAAACCAGTACTCCATGGAGTCCCGACAGATAGGTTAACATTAGCTTGATGATAATTTGGTGGCGCAAAATGACTCACGGGAACCCCGGTTTGTTGAAATGGTGTGCCGGTTTGATGGACCGGTGTACCGTTGTCTAGATTCTCCCCTGGTGGATTAGTGACACGACCCATTTGTTTGATATGTAAAGTGTAGCTAGCTAGTTTTACGTGTAGGATTGATTTATAGGAGAAGGAGAAGCTCTTTCTCTTTTTCCTTCGCCATGAAACTAGTTAAATAATTATATTCAGTTGAAAATTTGGGTTTTTTTTATTGATAAAAGGAGCGAACGAAGAAACTTCTATGCCGAGAAGAAAGAAGACATTTCGAATTACGTAGTTCACATTTAAAGTTTTGACTTTTCAACGGTCGAGAGACTATAAAAGTCAACGGATGATACAAAGTAGACGTATTAATCAAAGTCAACGTCTCGAGCCTATCCTTTTGATGTATGTTTTTTTTAAAACAAGTTGCGAGCAAAAAACCAAACTAATCTGACTAAAAATATCAGATTCATTAGTCTTATCAATATGTGAATTAATATTTTTGTACAAGTAGGACTTTGGATTGATACGAAATGTTTTGTTTTGTTTTATACTGTGATACGAAAAATGATTCCATCAGCATTTTTTTTTTTTTTGTAACACCTATATATTCAATTTTCAAATGTTCTAGATGTGAAAACTAATTTGTCTTCTACGAATTATTAGGGTTGAACCATTCCCTACTCTGGATTCCACTATATACCGTGAATGTATAGCAAAAGAAAACACAAAACATCATTAACCTATCAAATCTCCTGTTTATGCTTAAACTGATCTTTATGTCTCCTATACGAAATGATTGATTGGTCAACAAGAAACAGCAGCCAAAACCCACAATACAGTATTTACAGATTCAGTACATGAAACTGGACCAGAGATTACAAAATCTCTTCATGTTACAAACACAAAATCATCTCAGAGCATTACATTCGTTTACTGACCAAGTATATCCGCTACTGATTTCTTGACAATTTGGGAGAGCTCCTCTCTGACATATGAGTAAAATAGGTTAAAGAAAAACACTTGCATTTTGGTTTCAAGAACTGCGTTTAAAAAACGAGGGTTTAAATTACCTGTCGGGTTTGAACAAGAGATATCGATATGTAAACCACTGCCAAAACAACGATTAGGTTACATAACTTAAAGTAATAATCCATATATTCTTGTTGATATGATCTCAAAGCTTACTTACCGTAGAGAACAAGATACCAACTAATTCGAACCCGGAGGAGACAACAGGCAATTTGTCGATTGCCTGATGAAGAGAAAATCAAAAATTATTTGTCAAAGAAAAGCTTAGAAATTTTAAAGATAAAGAACCAAAAAGGCTAAGTCTTTATACTATACCGTGATTAGGTTTAGTGAAGCCCAGAGAGCTACAATAGCAGCAAAACTCAAACCAATAAGACCTAAACGATCTTCAGACTTATCCCACTGAAACAAATTACAAATGTGTGTGTTGTGTGTAAATGGCGTAGAGAGCAATGCAAATTAGGATTATTTAGGGTTTCAAAAGACTTACAACATTCTGAATTGAACTAACGACATCGAGATCAGTCGATGATTCGGAGCTTTTTCCACTAGCTCTCACCATAAGAGCGATGCTAAGGTTTCGTTTCTCTACAAGGAACCTAGAAATTGAGAAGCTCTCCTTCTTCTCCAACTAAAACAAGAAAAAGGATCGAACTTTACCTCGAATTAGAGAAAATGGAAGTTTCTGAATTGATGTGAGATTGGACTTTCTCTGAGTGAGCAGTAATGGTGGAGGCAAAGTTGCAGAAACTGAAGCCATTTTTAACCTGAAAAAACGAAACTTTTCAAAAATCAGAGCACAAAAATTCAAAATTTAAGAGGTGTTATCGTTAATCTGTGAACGAGATCGTACAAGTAATTAGCTTTGGGATCGGAGAAAATTTGATTCGATTAGAGAGATAGTTTTGGATGCAATTGCAAGAAACAAAACTTCTTGAGAAGATTAGATAGCCTTATCTTGCTCTAATCCACGTGGCATCTCGTATATGGCATCCGAAATCTCAAAGATGAAAACCCAATTCGCCACGTGTCAGAACAAGATCCATCCATGAGTGAAGAAGATTCTCCAGCTATACAAATTACAAACAATCCACTCACTGACTTTGGCAACAACAACAACAACAGGAGAGAAACATGGCATCTTTTGCAACCATCGCCGCCGTTCAACCCTCCTCCGCCGTGAAAGGACTCGGAGGCAGCTCTCTCGCCGGAGCTAAGCTCTTCATCAAACCTTCTCGCCAAAGCTTCAAACCCAAATCCACAAGGTAAACTTAAAAAGCTTTGAAATTTTGGAATCTTAGATTGAGATTGACGAGAAAATGTAATTACTTTTGGGTTTGTGATAGAGCTGGTGCTGTGGTGGCTAAGTACGGAGACAAAAGTGTATACTTTGATTTAGAAGATTTGGGTAACACAACAGGACAATGGGATTTGTATGGATCTGATGCTCCTTCTCCTTATAACCCACTTCAGGTTTTGTTCAAAACTCTAAAACTCCGTATAAATCTATATGCTTCTTCAGATTCCAAGACTGTTCTTTGCTTGCTTGCAGAGCAAGTTCTTTGAGACATTTGCTGCTCCTTTCACAAAGAGAGGTTTGCTTCTCAAGTTTTTGATTCTTGGAGGAGGCTCTTTGCTTACTTATGTCAGTGCTTCTTCTACCGGCGATGTTCTTCCCATCAAGAGAGGTCCTCAAGAGAAGCCTAAGCTCGGTCCTCGCGGCAAGCTCTAAATTAGGGTTTCTAAAATCCCTTCAAAGAAAGTCAGAAACTTTCTCCCCAATTCTGTGAAACCCTTCTAATGATTTATGTATATTGTGTTGTGTAATTGCTTTCCGAGCTAGTGATGAAATTGTGAGAATCAATTATGAAATTTGCATTTCACGTCAGCTACAAACACAATGGTGCTATTCTTTTTTTTTCATTTGAATCATGGGCAATGCAACAAGCAAACCTAATTTTACAAGAACAAAATAAACTTTTTCAGGAGTATCTTGCGGTTGGACTCCTCATAGTTCCAAGAGAGTCAAGATAAGAACTCTTCTTGTTGTTTGTCATAATACCTGTGACTTTCGACAACAATGGTTTCTCTCTATCTCCAAAAAAGCTTTCTTTCTTCATCTCATTATTGTTTTTGTTACCCCATTGCATAACATCAGAGAGTGTTCCTGAAGCCATGTCCTCTGAGAAACTTGATCTTTCCTTCTCGGCCTCTCTCACTGTATATCTATTTTTAGAAGCTCCGTTCGTAGGTTCTTGAGTAAGCTGATCAGCGTAAAGCACGTCTTCTATTTTCGACATCACCGTGTGAGCCAAACTCTCAAGAACTCTTGAGTAACTCTCCAATATAGCAAGTCCTACATCCTGCAACAACCAAAACCCACCAAATCAGATTCTTCTCGAGGTCAAAGCAAAAACATGAACTGAATCAAAGGAGTTTTGGATATTTTTAGTTAAAATTACTCTGTTGAATTGAATCTTGCTGATATCAAGCGCAGATTGAGAGATTCCGGGAAACCCTTGTTTCAAAAGAAGCAAGATTGTTTCAGCTCTTTCTTCAAACTGTTCCCTTTTCTCAATACTCACTGTTGATCCCCAAGGAGACTTTGTGTCCTTCTGCACCATTTTCCTCTTCCATATCACAATCGATGCTTCGATTCTGTTCTTCAGATCAAGAATCTTGTGCTCAGATGATAAATCCATTTCAATTAGGAACTGATCTGCATCAAACATCTCTACTGTTATCATTCTGTATATCACATCTCCCAAACTAGCTCTCCCATTCTGTTTTCAGCAAAAGAAAAAAAAACATTTATAAGGACAAGATCATAACAGATTCTTGATGAATGTTTATGTGTTGTCTAACTAAATAACCTTAGGAAGTGATTCGAGGTAGCTTTCAGGGATCTCCATTTCAGAGAGAACTTGAGCGTTTATCGCCATTGCAGCTTTAAGGACTTGATTCACACATTCCTTCTGGCTTTGTAAAAACCTTCTTGATATCTCGGAGAGGCCGTTAGGTGGGACTTTAACCGCCGGTAACCACCATTTCTCATCGTTTCTTGTCTCTGAAGAATCAGGAGAATCTTTTTTCACATAGTAAAACTCGTTCTGATCCTTGAATTTATCAAGACAATCCTGCAAACAAACAAAAAAAAGATATCAGATTTCAAGAGAATGATTATAAGATGAGACATTAATTTTACTGATTTGTGTTGTTGGTTGTTGTTCTTACGAGGAGCATTGCATCGAGTTTCTTAAGTGCAGGGATGTTACAGAGGAGATCCGTTCTCTGTCTTGTTGTCATGACTTCCATTGAAGATCCATCTTTGTTTGTTTGTTGCGTCGGAGCGAATTCAACTATATGATCAGCAACGGAGATAAGCCATCCAATTTCTCTTCTCCACCGCGCTTTTCTATCCGCCGCCATCGGTTCTAAACGCCTCTGTTCTCCAAACGCAGACGCTGCAACAACAACAACAAAAAAACAGAACTTTACATCCAAAGACTAAGAATTTTTTTTAAAATGGAAGATTTGTTTAGAAAAAAAAAACCTTACCTGCGAGATTGGTAATGGCGTTAGATAAAGCCAAAGCCGAAGAAACACCTTTCCCTCCTCCTGACATATCTTCTCCAAGAAGCAATTTCGAAAACTTCTCTTTCATTTGCTCCATTGCTGTAATAACAAAAAAAACAGAAACTTTGATACTTTTCTTACCCTAACTTGTAACCCAAGAAACATTATCAATTCATTAAAACTTACCTGCTTGTAATTGTGCCTCCATGGATTCCAATGAAAGGATTCTCGTAGCGACAAACTTGTCGTTGCGGTTGGGCGTAATGCCGCCGCTTAGAGGCAAAGACGGCCGGTCAACGCTGCCGGCTTTCCCGGGTTGACTTCGGAACATCATCGCCTCATTGTCGTCATCATCAAAAGTGTCTGAACCATCCATTCTCATGGCGCAATCTGAGCTCCAGCTTTTGACATGTCTTGAAGCTGAGTTTTCGTTCATGTTCTTGAAATGAAACAGTCTTGATTTGTAACTCTCTTGTTCTTGATCCATCGCTTTTACCATTCCAAATAAAAAAAAAAAAAAATAATAAAATGAGTATTTTGAAATATCTTTTTAATCTCTCATTGTTTTCTTAATCCTGTAATAAAGAGGAGTTTTAGGAGACTTTGGAGAAAAAAACAAACTTAACTAACCAGAAACGGTGTTTGATTTTTCAGACTTAGCAAATACAGAACACCATTGTTTGACTTCTGTTAATGGTTTTATTAATTTTTTTTTCTCTCTTAAAACCTGATTTATTTTAGTAACTTTTATGATTCGTTGTCCATAACCATTAACAAGTGAATTTGGTCAGATTCTTTAGGAAAAAAAAGGATTTATTTATTTCCTTGGAATGTTTTACTATTTATAAGTGGCTACTTGGTGGAATGTGGGGTGCACGTTATTAGGAACTTTGATTTCTCAAATTATACTTTTCTAAAACCAAATTTTAAAAATCATCAAGGAAGACATGTTACAAACACTTATCCGTAATTTTTGAGTCTTGAAGCATAAAAATGAGAGTAAAGATCTTAATTAACGAGGAACATGGATGCATCATCTTGTCTGTCTTCTATTTTTTTATCATGTTCCGAATGGTCCACAAAAATAAAATCTAAATAATGCTAATGATTGATTAGTATCTATACTATAAAAGATGGTTAACTCTCTCTAGTTAAATATCACCTCATCATTGTGGTTTAATGTTAAAATAACATATATTATTTTATTAAATTTAATGATATAAATTATATAAAATACATTTAATGTATAAATTAATGTATTGTTAATCATAATACTAAAAGAATATGAAGAATATGAAGTATTAGATAATATATTTTAACAATATTATATAATTAATATCAAAAAAAAATTATTGAATATATATTTTTAAGTAGTTTTTAAAATTGTTAAAAAAATTTATATTTCTTATTTAAGAGTGTTTTCTTATTTCTTATTAATATCATAAGTTATTATTATAAAAACAATTATATAAATAAAAGATAATAATTATTTGATATTTTGTACTTTAAAATGTTAGAAGAATAATTTATACAATATTATAATAAACTTTTAAACAAATTTTTTATAAAATAATAATTATTTGATGATATATTTTATTTAAACTTAATTTATTAATATTTTTTAAATTATTAAGATATCAGAGTCCTAATATATTTATTTATAAATGTTTGATGTAGCTGTATAAATTAAAATTATAAATTAATTATTTAAGCTAATAAAAATATAATATATAATATATAAAATAGGTTTAACATCAATTTTTTAAAAAACTAAAAATTTGTGCGTATGCACGGGTACTCTTGTAGTATTGATAATTACTGTGGGTGGACATTGCATTTCTTTAAAAGAAATATATAAAGATCTTCCACGTTAAACTTTTATTGATTACAAAAGCCAAATACAGAAATAAAATTTACCACATCTTCAGTGAAATCAATCTCCCAATCTTGGGTCTATTTACAGACATAGATTCAAACAAAGCTACAAAGAGCAAAAAACAAAGAAAGATCTTGATAGGCTCTTCAAGCTTTTTTCACAGATTTTCATAAAAGTGGAAGAAGAAAAAAGGAAAAAAACATTGGATTAGGGTTGATTATTAAGGAGTAGAAGCGCCTTTGAAGATTAGGAACTTAAGTGTCTCCAACTGAAAATAGATGAATGTCCCTTTAGAATGTGTGAAGAAACACCCAAAATTTGATCCCACCACACATTGCCATCCACTCCCATATCTCTCATCAAACTCCTGAATTAAAGGTAAAAAAAAATCAAAATCAACCAAATAGTTATAGATGATAATTATGATGATGAATGATGTAAACATATTACTAGCACGTTTTAGCATTTAAAATACCTACAATGGCTAGTTAAAATGAAAAATAAAAATCGAATTCTTGTTCCTCGAGATTATTTTACTAATGAACTGGTTAGGATGATAATGTAATTAGAATTTGAAACCTTTTCGTTTGGTAGAGAAATGAAGAAAAGAGTACCTTCTTGATGTGGCCAGCAATGGATTTACAGTCAATGACGTCAAAGAGATCAAGAGCTTGAGAAGCAGAAGCCATGGCTTGAATCTGCATCTTCATTGGCATATCTGAATCTTCCACCATTGCTTTTCCTTCCAACATCTTCTCAATCTCTCTCTCTGAAAAGACTTTTTCAGACTTTCTACGGAAAAAAACAGACAAGGTAGCGTTTGGATCTTTATAGACACGAAAAGACATAAATTGAAAAAGATTCCCTTCAAAAACCAAATCTTTTCAAGAAAAACCCCATACGAAGATAAAAAATGTCTCCTCTATTTTTTTTGAAAATGGTTTGAGAAAATCTGGGAATCTGTGCCAAACCTTTTTGCTTTGTCGTTTTCTCTTCAGTAGGTTTAAAACTGCTTATCCGAAAAAACGATGGCACGAACGAACACAACTAAAAAAAAACTCGTTTGTGTTCTTTAATGGTGAACGCAGAAGTTTGTTTTCTTTAATTTAGTCAAAAAGTTGATAATGACGAAGCTGATAACAGGCAAAAAAGCTGATAATTTCAAGATAAAAATAAAAGAAGACAGTAAGAAAATTCTAATATTTTTTTAAAGGTGTAAATGACTCATTCTGAGTAATATGTCCCTCTGTCTCTCTCTTACGTGTGTCCATGTCTTTTGTCTTTGACCTTTAATGGATAACGATGGAGAGGTGCATAATTAATTAGTTGTACGTGATAAAATTTCCCTGATTAGCTAAGCTTCCACAAAATTCGTAAAAATGTCGGTGTGACCCATTAAGAAGGTTCAGGGCCCATTTACCTGATACCGAGCTATTCATTTATATAATGTTTGTACAAAAAGATCCTAATTTTTCTTCACAAAGACGAGTTAAATTTTCATCCGCTCTTTTTAAGGTCAATAACTAATTATAATCTTCTTTTTTCTCTTTCTCTGTTAAGTTTTACTCCATTTGTTTCAAATTATAAATTGTTTTGAATAAAAATACAAAGATCAAGAAATTAACTTTTATTTTAAAAAATATTAATTAACAAATAAATTAAATATAATTTAACCAATCATAGAATAAACTGTATAATATTACTGACTACACAATATCTATTAAAATTTAAAATAACATTAAAAAGTGAAAACAATTTACACTTTGAAACAAAATTATACTCATAAGCAATTTATATTATAAAATAAAAATATATTATCTATTTTTAATTTAAACGTTAATAAATCCTTTTAAAAACAAATTTTAAACTATATCCAACGGTTACTTTTGAATAAGTGAAATTACTTAAAAAAACAAATTCAACCATCCAAAAATGAAATGTTTGGATATTGTCTAATAATGAAAAATTTAAAGTCAAAACAATTCTAATTCCCACTGCTTTTTTGGTAAATATTTAAATATTTTATCAATTGTTTTGCAAAAGCAATTTTTGACTAATAAATATAACATACACATGTGCCGTCTTACCTCCCGCCGTAAATCCTGGTGAGATTTTAGGCTTTTTCACATTTGACGACGATCGCTGCTTCGCCGATCAATCACACTGTTCAAACGCCGACGAAAAAACCCTAAAGCACAATGTCGATGAATCCAAAACCCAGTTCTAAATTCCCAATCTTCACCTTCCTCCTCCTGTTACTCCTCAGTTCCCTAATCATCTCTGCTTATTCATCATCCGACGCCAGTGTCGAAGCAAACGAACCCGGATCCGATGAAGAATCCGACGATCTGGAACAGCTCATAGCCGTAGACGAGCAATTGCAAGAAGATCGGCCTGAGCAACAATCGGAAGCCGAAACAGTGAGCAAGGCGCAGAGGATCGTGCTTGAACTCAGTGGCGACAACACGAAGCGGGTCATCGATGGAAACGAGTTCGTGATGGTTCTAGGTTACGCTCCTTGGTGCGCGAGGAGCGCGGATTTGATGCCGCGATTTGCGGAGGCTGCGACGGCGTTGAAGGAGATCGGTAGCCCGATTCTGATGGCTAAGATCGACGGCGATAGGTACTCGAAGGTCGCGTCGGAGCTCGAAATCAAGGGTTTCCCTACGCTTATTCTCTTCGTTAAGGGCACTTCTCAGCCTTATACCGGTGGATTTTCCGCGTAAGTTCTGGCTTCTTCGTTGTAAATTTCGACGAAATTTTTAGTTTTCGAAGTGATCTTGTGACACTTTCAATATCTGAGGTTCCAATCTCTCATGAGCAAGTTCTGATTTTTCGTTTCTAGTAGAATCGAATTTGATATGATCGTTTATGCTATTTCTGAGAGATTTTTGGATCAATGTGTTCTTCTGTTCAGAGAGGATATAGTCATCTGGGTGCAGAAGAAGACTGGTGCACCGATCGTTACAGTTAATACAGTTGACGAAGCTCAGAGATTTCTGAAGAAGTATCATACTTTTGTTGTCGGTCTATTCGAAAAGTTTGAGGTATACTTGGATACCGAAACTGTAGATTTAAAGCCTTTGGAAATTCACTACTTGTTTTGGAATATAATCGTTTTGAATGTTGGTCTTTGTTTGATTGCTTAGGGCTCTGAATATAACGAATTCGTCAAAGCTGCAAAGTCAGACAACGAAATCCAGTTTGTGGAAACAAGTGATAGCGATGTTGCGAAGCTTCTGTTTCCTGAGCTCAAAGCCAATAATGTGTTTATTGGTATGGTTAAAACTGAGGCTGAAAGGTACACTGCATATGGTAAGATTTCTGATTGTAAAGATCTCTCTTGCTTCAATTTATATCTTTATATCATGAGAAGTGGTAGTAACACAAGGCTGCATGGTTTAATCTTTCGTTGAGATGTGTTCATCGAAATCATGGTAATGAGTCTTATGTGATTCACGCAGATGGACCTTACATAATGGAGAAGTTATTAGAGTTTCTAGGCAAGAACAAGTTCCCGTTGATTACAAAATTGACTGAAGGCAATACTGTTTGGGTTTACTCCAGTCCTGTTAAGCTTCAGGTTAGAAGTTTTTTTTGTCATTTCAGTTATCAGTTTGTTTGTTTGCGATTATGTTTCTAATCGTAACTTCGTATTTTTGCTTCCATGGTTAGGTTATGATCTTCTCCAAAGCTGATGACTTTCAGAATATGGCTCAGCCTCTTGAAGATTTAGCAAGAGGGTTTAAATCAAAGGTATTTTCCGATGCTGAATTCTAAAGGCCAGATAGATTTAGTTCTTTAGATTTTCAGTTGACGTATATTATTTTTTCTTGCAGCTTATGTTTTTATACGTTGATATAACAAATGAGAACCTTGCGATGCCATTCTTGACCTTATTCGGAATAGAGAATGCGAATAAAACCGTTGTAAGTTTCTGATGCTTTGTTTCCGTGTGCGTCATTAACACTTTGTGATCTGCTGATAATAAAGCTACAAAGCCACTGTGGATTAATCTATAGCTTTCTTCAACAGGTTGCTGCTTTCGACAACAACCTGAACTCCAAGTATTTGCTTGACTCAGATCCAACACCAAGCAATATAGAAGTACGAATTCGCATTACGCTTTTAACCATGCTCCTTCAAATATTCGTATAGTAACTGATTCATGTGATCTCTATTGGATTCGCAATATAGGATTTTTGTTCAGGGCTTGCTGATGGAACCGTTACGCGTTACTATAGGTCAGAGCCAGTTCCTGATAATGTGAGTATGAAAGATGTAATCCTCCTTTGATGTTTCTTTTGGGATATTGTGGAGGCTGAAGAGACTAAGAACATACATACGAGCTAAGATCTAATTAAGCCGATGAAATCTGCAGGAGAACGCAAGTGTAGTGACTGTTGTAGGAAAGACTTTTGATGAGTTGGTGTTGAACAGCCGCGAGAACGTTCTTCTTGAGGTTAGTAAACTCCAAAACGTTCTACTAAACCCAACATTCTATTAACTGAAATCGGCATCAAGTAAACAAATATTGTGTGGGGAAACGGAACAGGTACATACACCTTGGTGTGTAAACTGCGAGGCGCTAAGCAAACAAGTGAAGAAGTTGGCTAAGCATTTCAAAGGCTTTGAGAATCTTGTTTTTGCAAGAATCGATGCTTCTGCAAATGAGCATACTAAACTACAGGTGAAACAACAAATCTTACCTGCAACAAAGACGACTTGCAATCCCTGAAACGCAAGCTAATCTAAATCTTATTGATTTGTTGATGAGCAGGTTGATGATTATCCAACGATCTTGCTTTACAAAGCTGGTGAAAAGGAGAATCCGGTAATAACCATTTTTGAAAAGAGCTTCACTCTTTAAACTTCATTGCTTCTGCTTCTTACCAAATTTTCTGTCTTAATCGTTTTATTTGCAGTTAAAGCTATCGACTAAATTGAGCGCCAAGGACATGGCTGTTTTCATCAACCAAGAGTTGAAACCAAAGGAAGGGTCGTCTGCTAAAGATGAATTGTAAACAAAAGTACGAGGAAATGTAGACATAAGAGACGAGAGATATATCATAGATGCGAATTTTTTTTTGTGACATTACATGGTTGTTGTTTTGATTTTGTGTGGAATCCGATAGAAAAGTAACCGGATTCGTAAAAATCTGTAACGCAATGAATTGAAATTACATTTATAGTGTATGGTACAAAATCAAATTTGCCAAAACAAAATAAAAATATTGGTACCACCCTCTCTGCAACAACCATTTTGCTTGCTTCATCAGCATTCACACCCTGTTGATCTTTGTTGCTGACCCCCTGCAACATCAATGGTGTCGGGCATGTACCTGCAAAGGTATCAGCAAAGGAGTAAGACTACAACAACATGAAGTCATGTTTGTGTGTGTGTCGTAGACTTGTACTTACGGTTCTTCTTCAGGTTCATTCTTGAATGCATTTTTGGTTATGCATTCGAAAGCTGCATCCACATTGAATCCTTCTTTCGCGGAAGTCTCAAAGTAAGGAATGTTTCCTTTAGAAGCACACCATGCCTTTGCTTTCTTCTCAGAAACCTGACGATATGGGATAAACTTCAGCATATAACCAAAAACTCTACATGCTTGAGTTTGAATAAACAAAAATGTCTCACCACTCGGCTCTTGCCACCGTCAACATCGGTCTTGTTCCCCAACACGACAAACGGGAAGTTCTCAGGATCCGATGGACTTGCCTAAACAATTGTCACACAAAGAAGGAAGACTGATTGAAGCATTTGGATTATAGCAAGCAATGGAATATTCACAACTTATAGAATGATTATGGTAGATAAGAAGAGTTTGTGTTAAACCTGAATCAAGAACTCTTCCCTCCAGTTATTAAGATTTTCGAAAGATTTCATAACATTGACATCGTACACAAGAACACAACAATCAGCTCCTCGGTAAAAAGCTACTCCCAAACTCTGGAACCTTTCTTGCCCAGCAGTATCCCAAATCTGTATTGGATTAAGAGACTTTAACACATCCCAATTTTGTATACAAGAAACAAAACACTGTATTTTCATAAGAACACACCATAGGAGAATCAGATTGATACTCAAAAAGCAAAGATTTTGAACCTTTTCTACTTTATAAAACTCAACAGTAAAACAACATCAACCCAAAAAGTTAGGAACCTAGAATCCAATAAGAATATTCCAAAGAATCACAATGCAAAACTATAAGCAATAATGTTGTTGATTCATTCAAACACTAAGATATAGCAAAAGGTTACACATCCCAATTTTGTATACAACAAACAAAACGCTGTATTTTCTTAAGAAACACCATAGGAGAATCAGATAGTTACTCAAAAAGCAAAGATCATTTTCTACTTTAAAAACTCAATAGTAACATCAATCGAATAAGAATATACCAAAGAATCATAATGCAAAAACTATAAGCAATAATGTTGTTGATTCATTCAAACAATAATAAGATATAGCAAAAAAGGTTACCTGTAAAGTGAACATCCTGTCATCAATTTGAACCTCTTTAGTCAAGAAATCTGCTCCAATCGTCGCTTTATACTGATTACTAAATTTTCGATTCACGAACCTAACATGGAATTAAATTAAAAGAAAAAATCAAATAATTAAAAAACAGGACATTATCAACGTTACAAGTAAAAGATACACATAGATCTGGATTTTAGAAACGTACTGATTCATCAACGAAGTCTTCCCAACTCTGGCGAATCAATACAAAAGGATCAAAATCTCAATCAATGGGCAAATGAAATCACATCAACCCAGAGTCAAAAAGTATACATTTTTCCTAGAAATCGAATAGATATAACCCCAATAACGGAAAATTTGGGAAAAAAAAAAATACAGAAATCGGATTTGAAATTGGGGGACGAAAACAGAAGTCGAAGAGATGAGAAAGTTACCCGCTATCTCCGAGAATGATAACCTTCAGAAGAACTCTCCGGCGAGAAGACATTGACGGAAAAGTTGATATTTTCTTTTCAGGGAAGAAAGTGTCTCTGTTTTCGGGTTTCTCTCTCTCTCTCTCTCTCTCTCTCTCTCTCTCTCTCTCTCTCTCTCTCAGGTTCTTCGTGTGATTCAGGTGAGAAGGCGAAATTACAGAAAAGGTACACAATTCGCTAAATAACAGCAAGGAAAGGACACTATTTTAAATCTTTTATTTCCAAAAATGCCCCTCCTTCTTCATTTAGTCATTTACTAAATTTCTTTGTTTAAACTTTTTTTTTATTATGACTCATAATAATTGTATACAAAAGAAATCTTCAAACGGTCTAATGGGTCTAATTATTTTTGCTTTTTTGAAATGTTTTTGGAGTATCATTGACTAAAGAGTATTTCTCCTGAATAAAGATATTTTTAATGCATATTTCTTTCAATCAATATCACAAAACAATTTAATAACATGCTCCAAGATGATGTGTTGTTTTTTTCCAAGAAAAAATCAAAAAAATCATAAAGCTCTTAAATATCTTCACACCATACTCATAAAAAGAATATTGACTACTACTCTCCAATGAAATAATCACGTGCAAGATCAGGTTCGTGATGGTTTTAATTAGAGCCACACATTAAAATAAAGTTAGAAGTTTAATAATAATGAAAAATGTGTTTACACACCTAAACCTACCCCAAAATGCTGGATCTTTTCATTACCAAAAGAATCCTCTGTTTTTCAAGTTATATCATCTCACTTCCGGTTTTCTTCTCCGGTTCGATCTCCTGCGTTGTACGTTGACCTTCAGTGACACTAGAGGAGCCTGATGGGTTCTGACCATTGTCGCTTGTGGTCAAACCGCTGCATTCGCTGCTACCAAATGTCTTGCTCTCAAGCGCCATTTTCTTGAATCTCTTCAAGTCTTCTTTATACTGCGTTGAGCTATAATCCGAGCTCCCGTCTAAGCTGTACATAGTGCTGTCTCCCGGAGCAACTCCTTCGGTTAGGTCATCTAGAGATATATTTCCTTCCAATGCTCGAACTATCTGCAAATTTTCAAAAAGATGAAATGATCCAAACCCTCAGAGAAGAAACTCAAAAAAAGTTTTTGACTTTTATAGTTACCTGACTCATTTTTGGGCGGCGCTTTGCTGAATGACGGACACTAGCAGCAGCACAAGCAACCATTCTCGTCATTTCGCTAATATCAAAGTTATCCTCTAACCGCGGATCAACAAGACCGTCGAAGTTGGTACCATCGTTTAGAGATTGTATCATCAGAGGTTTAGCCTATAGAGAGCATTGTAGAAAAGTATTAGAAGTTGAGGATTTTGATGCTAAGGGAGGAAACAAGAGATGACCAACCCAATCAACGATGCTATCATCATCAGCAAAAGGCTGAGACTTATCAACAGGACGACGTCCGGTTATCAATTCAAGAAGCACCACTCCGAACGAGAAGACATCTGACTTATCAGTGAGTTTCCCTGAAGAAGCATATTCAGGAGCCAAGTAACTGCATATTCAAGAGACTGTTAGTTACTTGTTTATCATTGATGATGGGTTGCTTGCTTATAGAAAGAGCGTCTCTCTCATACCCAAATGTTCCCATAATGCGAGTGGAAACATGAGTGTCAGTGTCTAAAGAAGACCTGGCGAGTCCAAAATCTGCTAGCTGATGAATCAGGACATAATTAGTATCGACGTTTAAACAACATAACTAGTATTAAGTTAAGTTTTGTAATACCTTTGCCTCATAGCTATCGTCGATAAGAATATTAGCAGCTTTTACATCACGGTGTATTGTTTTAGGGTTACCTAAATATCAAACAAGAAGAAAACTTTTACACACCAACAGACAAAAGAAACTTATACAACTCAAAGACAAGAACATAACTCACAATCTTCATGTAAGTATGACAATCCTTTAGCTGAACCCAAAGCAATCTTCATCCTCTTTGCCCACTCCATTACCGGTCTCCCTTTCTCTGCAAATATCACCTTTAGTTCAAAAGAAAGTGACCAAAAAATTCACACAAACCATTACTAAGTTACACTCACCGTGCAAATGAAACTCCAGAGTCTTGTTAGGCACAAACTCATAGACAAGCAATCTCTGAGATCCGGTTATGCAATAACCGAGGAGTGAAACAAGATGCCTGTGATGGACTCTACTAATGGTCTGAATCTCCGCCTGAAACTCGCGTTCTCCTTGTCCGCTTCCGGCTTTAAGCTGCTTTACAGCAACCTCTGTTCCATCTTGAAGAACTCCTCTGTGAACATAACCAAACCCGCCTTGTCCAATGAGGTTGGTGCTGGAGAAGTTATCAGTTGCCTTAGCCAAATCTTCATAAGTGAACAAGTTGTGTGCAATGTCTGAGTTTGTAGTTTGATTCCATTGCTGAAGATTGCCATTACCTAGCAACAAGAAATGAAATTTCAAATCAAGCAAAGAAAGAAAGGTTCAGAATCAGTCAAAGCGAATAAAAACAAAAGGAATCGAATATTTAAAAGAAGTACTACTAATTATAAAAATTGAATTTTTCAGAATAAAGAAACCCTAGATTTCCGGGATTTGTAAGAGAGATTTTACCTAATTTCGGATCAGAAGAAGAAGAAGCTAGTAACTCTGCATTAATAGCAGCTTCAGCATCTTGTCTCTTTAACTTCCTCTTCTTCCTTTTGTAGAAACAGACGAAAACGCAGACTCCGATAAGAACAATCGTTGCTCCGAGAACTACTCCAATAATTAGCACCGTTAACGCTGCCCTCCCCAAGCCGTCGCCGTTAAATGTCGTCGCCGGGTACGGAGGCGTAGAAGCAGGTTCGATGAAGGAAGGCGGAGAGAGAGAAGACGACGTCGTGTTTGATGGTTTCGTGAAGGGAAACTCCGGGTCCGGCGGATTTGCGACGGAGGGGATAGTGTTGTTCAACGGAGACGACGACATTAGATCAGATGACGGTTAGTGTGACACGCGCGTTCGCAGGTTTTTCACATTGCGGAAATGAGCACTGAGGAGGAAGAAGACGAAGAAGAGGAAAGAGAGAGAGAGGGAAAGAGAGTCATGTGGTAGGTCCCCCACTTTAGAGATTCTTCTGGTAGTGTGTAAATTTTTTTCTTCTCTATAATGATCAGAGATGTTATATAATTAACTTAATACTGTAGTTCATTACTTCATGTGATTTATCGTGAATTCTCTTGGTCGTCAATTTTTGTCACTACTGTAGAATAATTACATTGTCCCTCTTTATTTGTCTTGGTTGTATGAATTTATTTGCTTTTAGATTTAAAGTATAAATGAAGGGACAAATACAGATATGAATGCATATACCATCAACGTTAGGTTTATTGAAATCTTTCATCTTTGATCAATTTATCCTCAACTTTTGACAATGGCGTATTTACTCTCCTGTTTTTATACTTTTGTTGGTAAATATCTCAACGCGGAATCTATTTTTGTTATGATTTGCGAAAAAATCAGTTTAGGTGGTGGTAGGTAATGAACGACAATTCATGAATGCAATAGTTTGATAGAAGGAAAATATATTTCATGATTGAATTTCTAATTCTCATGCAACATATATTTGTTGGTTTATTTTCTTTTTTTTTTCATACCTCGAACTGCAAGAGGGACATGTTTTCAATTTTAGTGTTTTTCAAGCTTTTCTATGACAGATGTTTTTTATGAAAGCTTTTCTTTGAATCTTTGTGGGAAAATGATGTTGTCCTTTGTTTTCTCCTAGTCTAAGAACCGGAGATATGTGGATAGGCAGTGGCACCACAAAGGTTTTGTCGCAATTCAGCATACAATTTCTCTTAACCGAACTTTTAACCGAGTGAACCGGTCTAAGGAAGCAGAGAATTAGTAAAAGTCTGTGTCGTGTTACAAAATTATGTTTCTATACCGAGGTATAAGATTATATAACATGCAAGGCATAAAAGAAGAAACCAAAACAGCTAAGAACCTAAAATTGTAGAGGTAACAGATCCTTTAATCTTTTATCCTAAAAATTGTAATATGCAGAAACGTAATTTGAAAGTAATTAACGTAAACGGAAACACGGATCTAGAAGTCCATGAATGTTTTGTAGTATTACATCTACAAATTGCAAAACAGATTTTGCCGGCATAAGAATTTCCCTACTTTATTAAAAAAATTGTCAATTCAATGCTTCTTCTTCATTTACAGGAGACATAATCACATAGATTTCTCTAAACTAAAGACCCCATTAAGTAACATTTAGACATTTACAATGAACAGTCCTCAAACAAACAACTAAACTGAAGATTGAAGCCTAATTTTATATATTAGCCAAAACAAAATTATTTTTCATTTTAGTTAATAACAAAAAAAAAGCCAAGCAAACTTCAGTTTCGGAAAACTGAACAAGACATCAGAATAAAATCCTAACCTAACGTAAACTAACAAGAATAAACCAGTTTCAACGCATACAACCAAACCAAATGAAATGCTTGCAGCAATAACACGAAACACATAATGGCATAAAAGACCTGCAGATTGCAGAAGCAACAGAAATCTCATCCCAAGTCCAAAACATTATAAAAGAGTAAAGAAGACAACAAAAGATAGTCGTAATCAGATGCTGAATAATAGTAATCTTGCAAAACAAACTCAGAATCCCAAATCTAAGTCTCACTGAGAAATTCAAACACCGGTTTAAGATGATGAAGCCGCTGCCTTGTTCCTTGGCTTGGCTTCGGTACCTAAAGCCACACACAAAATTGATAAAACGATCAAACATAAACCTCATTTCTTAATACGGATACAAACCAAATATAACTTGAAAAGGTGAAACATTTAAGGTACAGTACCTTCTCTGAATCCGGTCTTGAACCTGCGCGGGACATTACGAAGGTATCTCATCCTTCCAGTTCCAGTGGTCTTTCTACGGATGGCCTTCACACTCCAGTTGTCTGAAAAACACGAATCCACAAATCAATCAAAAATTGAAGATTACAAAAAGTCACAAACCCAAAACAAAAATGCCTTTACAACAACGAAAGGATGCTTCTTTACAAGATGTGCATTTCCTAGAAATGGTGTCAAGAGAAGCAGAGAGACTATAGTAGAAGACATTTTGCAGTGTTAGGATTCATAAGCCTAACAAAACCTAAATCTGATAATCAATGAGATATGAAATACTCAAAACATATCATCATTTCACAAGAGAGATCTCAAAATGAAGAAATGATCCATAGTAAACCCTCAGCTTAAGAACACTAATTCTGATTGGGAATCAATTGTTTTGAAAATCACAAATCTACAGGAATGAGGGAAACAAGTACGAATTCAGAAATGAAGAACAATTACAATTCGCAATCGACTAAATCGAACACTATTAAGCCAAAAAAGAAGCAGCTGAGATAGAGAGAGAGAGAGAGAGAGAGAGAGAGAGAGAGTCGTACACGTCCTCTTGCGAGCGGCGGGGTAAGCACAGGCGGAGCAACGACTCTTCTGGATGTGGAAACTGCGGCGGCCACATCTGACGCAGAGAGTGTGACTCTTGTTTCTCCTCTTTCCGAAACTTCCCGTTCCCTTCGTCTGAAATCCTCAAAAACAAAAAACATCGATAATCAAATCAGTGACTGCAATCAATAACCGAGTACAAGAAAGCAGGTAGAAAGAGAGAGAATCGCAGTAGATCACCATTGGAGCGAATGCGACTACGAACAAAACTTCAGAGCAGGGAAGTGACGGAATCGGTCAAGAAAACTTTATATAAACCTAGGGTTTTCTTCTTTTTATTAGGGTTTTGGTTGGATCTCAAAGCCCATGGGCCTTCGTTTTGTATTGGGCCTTTCTGGAAAACTAATTCAAACGATTTTCTCCTTTCAAAACCTACGCATATATCTATTAATAATAAAAATTGATGTTAAATATCTCTAAGGATGTCCATATAAAATTTAAAAATTCAATTCTATTGGTACACATCATCATTATTTTTAGTTAATTATATATTGTATATTAAAATTAATTAATTTATTATAATTATTATAATAAAAATTTCTAAATTTTAATTAATTTTGCTTTTGTTGTTATTAAAAAAGTTTCTAAATTTAAGTTAGTTATTAATAAAAAAGAGTTTTGAAAATAGATCTTATTTTTCTAATTAACAATAAAAAGGTAAATTAACATATAGATAGATTATGAAAAAAAATATAAATATATTGAATAAAATTATTAAAAACTATATTTAAAACCATAATTAAATTATTTTAAAATTTTAATCACGATAAACAATTAAAATCTGAACTGCTAACTTAAAATATATTAGTTGTGGTCCGTGTTGATGTCTTAGGCTAATGAGAGCGTCCACATAGGACATATATACTCAATCTGATTAGTCTATATCAGCGTTTATTATTAAACATAAAAAATAAAATAAATTTTAAATAAATTAAAACATACAAAAATAAAATTATCTTAATCGAATAGAAAATTAAGATAATTTGTTTTAACTAAATAAAATAAATTTATATCAAAAGTCTAAATCTATTGTGTAAATAAAATGGAAACTCATTGTCACAAAAACTAAACTAACAAAAAAATAATATGTAAATCAATAATAAAAAGTTAAATTAAAAAAATAGCATATATATTTTAAATGGGTAATTTATTTAGAAATAATATTAAGCTTAAATTTTTATATAAACATATACAATTAATGTTTTAAAATATCAACACTACCAAAAAAACATTCATTTTAAATTATCAAAAAAGAAAGTCATCTAAAACTTATAATTTTTAGGGAAATATTAAAAAAAATTAACACAAAAATCTAACAAACCAAAAATGATACTTTATGCTAATTACTAAAGAAAGCAATATAAAAAATGTTTAACTAACAAAAACCAAAACATAAATTATTTCTTACAACATGTCAATACAAATTAAATGAAAGTCCATATCAAGAAATTTAAATTAAAAAAAAAATGATATTAACTTAATATTTAAGTTATTTATTTAACAAAATTAATATAAACAGAATAAGTAAGAGAATAAAAAACTTAAATAATACTAAAAATTTAACTAACAAAAATAGTATAAATATTTAAGCTAATTATTTAAGAAATAAATATTAAGAAATTAATTAACTAAAAAACTAAAACGAAAATTAAGTTTTACAAATTTTTAAAAAAAAAAATACTTAAAAATATATTGACTTGATATCTGACTAACTACTTAAAAAATTCATATAAAAATATTTAACTAACAAAAAAAATTATTTCTTTAAAATATCAATATTTTAGAAACAATGGTGTCTTAAAATAAAATAAAAAATGAATATCAAGAGAGGTAAATTATCAAAGGAAAAAGTCGTGTAAAGTAATATCAGCTTGATATTTAGGCTAACTACCAAACAATTATTAACTAAAAAAAGCAAATGATGGTATAAGCTTTTGAGAGAAGTTCATTTAAAATTTAGAATAACCAGTTATAGCATGTCAAAATAGTATTTTAATTAATTTTAAAAGTAAATTTAACAAAGAACAAGCATTTATGTAAAAGATATTAGATTAATATATATGCAACATATTTGAAAAATCAATAACAAAAGAGATTAATTAACAATATATATGTTTTAAGTATATCAAAGCTGCAGAAAATTAAATAATTAAAATAAAATATAAAATTACCATCGAAGATATTTAAAATAACAAAAAACAAGATCTAAGAAGCAAGTTAGTTTGAAATATAGTTCCAGAAACATTCATGATTTCTAAAATATTGGTGTTAACTATGAATAACCATATAAAGTTTTAATAGGTTATACAAGTTTGTAAATCAAACATATTATTTAAATTTACAAAGATTAATACCTTGGTTGCATCTGGCTCGAAAATTAACAAAGTAAAATACTGCACAAGTAACTTTACATTTAAAATATAATAAGTAATAAAGTTTGATTTGTATACATATTTACTAATTATAACTTAGTCAACATGAACAACACATGAGCAACATCCTCTAAATTTTTATTTCGATCATATAATATGACAAAGTTATGAATCAAATTCAAATGGGAATATATGCAGATAAAATATACAACTCAAAACATGAATAAACACACAAAAGATATAATAAAAAACAAACATAATGTAAAGTCGCAACATCATCTTACATGTTTAAAAACAAATATTAGAAAATAGTTGACTGCAAATAAAACAGATCTTATAAACTGAATAGAGATATAACCTAAAATTCGTAGAAGATCTGGTGGAGAAGCAAAAAGCAGCTTTACACGATTAGTGTAGCTTACTAACAAAAGTAAATCTGAATCAACATATATCATATGTTATATATGTATATGTACACAACATTAGTGAGGCATTTAGTAAAGAAACTAAATATTTAAAACATATAAACCTTTAAAAAAAGAACCATAGAAATCCCAATGATACAAAATAAAACTCTAAAAATTTAGTAAGGAAATCATTTTCTAAATCAAACATATGCACATCGAAGTTGGATAATTCGTTCGGGTGTCATTACTATGATTTTATTTAATAAGATTTATAATTTTATAAACAAAAATAGGAAATACTACATATTATTTTTAATTTTTTATATAAAATAAAATTTCTATAAATATATTATAGTTTTGATAATTTAAAAGATATTAGACAAAAAATTAAATCAAATTATTAATACATACTCGCGCATAGCGCGAGTTAAAAGCCTAGTAAGTATGTATTAAAGTTGATTGTTTAAGACTTCTTGTAGTATCGAAAACTAATCCAAACAATACTCTCGATACTAATTGCCGATCATGCCACCGGTAAATCTGCGATCGGTCATTGCGCAGGTACATCAAGTATCGAGATCGGTGGGGTCTCGCCGGAGTTTCTCTTCAACCCCTGCTATGAGCAGCGAATCAAAGGGAACATTGGGCGCGTGGTTTGTAAGACAAGGTGCAGGAGTTGCTTTGGTATGGGGCTTATGTTATTGTGTTGATACGATGTTGGAGGAGAAGCGTCAAAAGAACCTGAAGGAGATTAAGGAGCATCTCGATCTTCATGAGAAGAGAATGTATGAGATGGTGAAGTCTCTTCGCAATCCCTAATTATCTTTAATACTTTTGTGTTTCCCAGATTATCTTCTTTTGTATTTGGTTATTGTGGTCGAGTGATCAGACAATGTGTTATGGAATTGCGTTTGCTATATATGTTGGATTTTCGTTTGTAAAACTTGTGGCATGTTGGAACAACAACAAAAAAGTAGAATGTATACTCCATAAAATTATTCAGAAGTACAGAAATTGATCATTCAAAAATTTATCAATTTAGAAAAAAAGTTGGATATGCTTAAGTGAGTTCATGAATGGTAAAATAGAGGGTATATATATGTTTTAGAATAATAAGTAATGAGTTTCTTTTAGGTGTTACTTAAATTTTGGAAACATCGTCTAATACAAGATGGTAAAAACAAAATTATGGTATGATCAGTCCATCCAGAAAAACATAATCTAAACTATTAAAAGGGAATCACACTATGTTCAAAAGCTATCTAAACTATTAAAAGGAAAACACACTTAACAAATATTCAAAAACTATCATAGTATTTATAATATATATCATTGCATTTACTAGAACATGTTATAATTTCATTAAGGGTATTATTATCATATCATTTTTGCCATAGTAATTATAATGCGCTATCATACACATGATTAATCGGTTTAATTTATTAACCAAGAAAATAGTAAACTAAATTCAGACAAAAATTTTTTAAAAATCTGAGATTTAAGTAAATTTTGCAAATTTATTTTTAAGAATTTTAAGATCATTCGTAAAAGTTTCAAGACATTTGAAATTTTTTTAAAAAATAAGATTTTTTATTTTAACTTACCAAAATAATCTTTTTAAAATGCATGAAATTTTTTAATAAAGAGAATATTTCAGATAAATATATTTTAACGAAATCTGAATTTAAATAAATTTTGAAAAAGTATTGTTAGAAATCTTAATAACATTAATAAAAATTTCATGAAATGGACAAAAATACAGAATTTATGAATGTAGATCTGCTACAGTTTTTTTCACGAGGTTGTATTGTTAATTGGAATTTAGAATAACAACTTTGATTTAAACGATACTAACATAACTGGGAAAAAAACAAGATTTTAGAGATCATTCTGGGGAATAGCTCGTGAATCATGAGAAAGAAAGAGGATGGGATCAGGTTTTACGGATCACATTTTTTCTGGATCGGATTGGAATTGGTTTCTCTTTCGATTTTTGCAGGTTTAGTCTCTTATTTTTTATTTATAGATAAAAACCGTAAAATTTAATTTTACGTTAGAGATAGATAGACAACTATTAATTTTTGTTTAAATAAAATACTTACCTGTCCATCAATTCCCAGACAATTAGTCCATCTTACTTCTACTCTTTCAAACCGTAAAATTTAAATTTATGCACATGTATTTTCAATCATTGTCAATTTGCCTAATTTTTTGTTTATTAGCAGATAATTATCCATATAATTAGAAAATCAAATTTTCATTAAAAAATACGAAATTAAAATTAATCAAATATTTGACTCATAATAGGGAATATAGAAAATATAACAACTAATTAGAGAAAACACCAATCAATATCGACCAAACTTAATAATACATTATAAGTATACTTTTGAATAATCACTGTTCAACTTTCATTTGTTTCCCAATATTCTGACTTTACGAAAATATACTTTTCCAAACAAAGAGACGAATTCGAATCTAAATTTAAAATTATCAATACATCTCAAATTTTACACAAATATATATATTTTTAATTAAAAACAAAATTTATTATTGGCGGGTTAGAATCTAAACTTTAAATTGTTAACAGATTTCAAACTTTATATAAATATATTTTCCATATTAAAAAACTGTTACAGGCGAGTTAGAATCTAAACTTAAAACTATCAACACATCTCAAACCTTATATAAATATATTTTTCCTTAAAAAAATGACTAAATGCAGGTTGAAATCTAGACTTAAAATCATCAACATATCTCAAACCTTACTCAAATATATTTTTTCAAAAAATAGAAAACATTAAAAAGAAAATAAGAACAGCTTACAATGCACGACCAATACCAAAAATACTAACTTTATACTTTTCATTCATGGCTGATAGCAAAAGACTCAAACAAGATAAAGATAAAAACTTTGTATAGATGATAAGCAACTCAAAACTATCAAACAATTTTTTATTAACGGTTTTGATGGGTTAATATGTTAGAAATTAAGCTAAAAAGCAATAAATACCAACAATTAAATCTTCATTAAAAACTATAATAAATGATGAATAAACAATGTATTATCACATATGGGTTATAATCTATGCTAATCTATATACAAAAAAATATTAAATTTATTTGGTTCTCATAAATAAAATGAAATAAAACAAATAAAAATCTAAACTATTAGAGATGGATTAGAAATTAAATATAATATTTAGAAAAAACAAAAAATATATCCCATATAAATTGAATGATTTGTTCTATTAATAACAACAAATTATTTTCGAATAGAGCAATTTAGAAAAAAAGCCCCGTGCATAGCGCAAATCTAAAATCTTGACAAAATTTTGGTGACTGAATCAAATTGTTAGAGATTGGTTTGAGTGGAAACTTTCTCAATTTCAGACAAAAAAAAAGATTTATTCTGTTGTCTAAAAAAATAGACAGACTCTAAGCTAAATCAAATCAATTTCTATTTGGATCATAATTTTGGATTTGATAACATAAACCAATTTTTAATGTATCCCAAAAACATTTTGTGAAAAAAAATCCGCGCAAGGTGCACAAATCTAAAATCTAGTAGAGTATTACTTGGGGAACATTCTTTTCCATAAATATGGTTTTGTCTTCCAAGTAACAAATATAAATGCTTTTTCCAATTTGGTCATAGGTTTTTGTTTGTTTTTTTCCTTTTTAATACATTTTTTTGCTTACATAATCGAATATTTTGGGGTTAACCTAAAGGAAGCTCCGAGAGATCGTCAAGGGAACGTCTGATTCGGACAAACAGAATCATCAAACCATCTTCTCCAAATAATTTCAAGAAACCAGTCTTCGTTGTTCGTCCATATGGTATACCTTTCGTCTCTCTGCCTATCTTGTTAAATTTTAAATTTATATTCATCATCATGAGCTAAGAAACGATTCGCCAAGCATATTTATTTATGATATGGAAAAGCTTATCCATCAAACTGTTTGAGGTTCAATAAATTTCAAATCGATGTTATACTTTGCCATGCATTGGAACATCAAGAACATGAATTTTTTTTAAAAATAGTCTAACTTAATTTGTTTCTTATGCAAATAAAGTTTCCATCGATTGTAACGACATATTTGTCAGAGAGTCTGCAACTCGATTGGTCAAGTTTTCATTATTCTGGCAAAAAATATGTCATTAATTTTTTTTTCCTGTCTCGTTTAGGTGATTGTACCGTTGCTAAGTTCAACGGTGAAGCTAGCCTCTGCAGTGGCGGTTAAACCGGTGGCCTCCGTCTCTGTCTTACTCTTCTACGGTGGTCTTCTTCCTCGGAATCTTCAATTAGAAAGATTAACCGGCCATGAATTTACACTTGATGGCAATGACTACCTTGTCCGATTTATCGTATCTTTTTTAAGATGTTTATGTTAGTTTTTTTTTTTTTTTTTTTTGCCTGTTACGGTAAAGAATTAAGTCAATTTAACATTTTTGTAAATAAATTAAAATGTAGTTTCATTTGACAAGCATCGTAACACAATGGCCTCAATTTCAGGGGTAATAGCGTAAATTCCTCACAGTTTCGAGGTCATTTAGTTATGATAAGAAAATATAGGGTGAGAAATTGGAAAATCAATAATGTAGGGGCCAAAACTATTTCATAAAAATATGGGAGGAAACAAGAAAATAATTTATTTTGGTCCGAACGACCCACTGAGACTTGTCCGAAGTCCGTCTACTGTCTACACCATAAATTCGCCATTAAAACCCTTCTTTCTCTCTCTCTCTTTCGTCTCTGCAAATCATCAAATTACATAGACTTTATGGGAAACGAAACCTCCTTATTCTCTTATCTTCATACAACCTAAAGGCTGTGCTTTTCTTCCCGTCGAAATGATTTAGTGTGGTTTTCCCGATTCTTTTTTTTTCCGGCCGATGCATCTTCTCTTTCGCGAATACGGGTTTCTGGTTTGTCAGATTGAGGCTTGATTTGTTGAAATTTTAGGGTTTATGAACCTGCTGTAGCTATGGAGCTGAATTGGATTTACTGTCGGAAACAAGCCCTGCTCTTGATTTCTTGTCTGACTCTGCTTTATCTCGCGTCCTTTGATACTGTAAGTGAAACAATCTTAGTAATTAGGGTTTCTGAACTTGGTCGAATCTTCTCTTAAATCTCTTGGAAGCTTCTTCTCCCTGAACTCTCTGCTAAAATTGGCAATATATGTTCTTTAGTCCATCTATAAAGGCCAGTTTTTTAATATTGTTTTCAGATTTCGAGCGAATCAACTCAGAATGCGAGTGATTTCAAGAATAGATCTCACAAAGGTACAAAGCTGTGAACTTTATTAGAAAAACAGAAAAAGGGGGTTTGTGAACATGTCCTTGATAAAGACGTTATTATATATATTCACTGTCATTGTTTCTCCATCTACACAGTTTCTTGCCCTACCAGTACCAATTGGGTGTTAGGTCTGAACGAAACGAAATGCTATGCATACTTCAGAAACTCTACTTCATGGGAGAAGTCAGAGATGTCCTGCAGAACCTATGGCGGTCACTTAGCATCTCTTGCAACGAACAAAGAACTCAGCTTTGTTCAGAAACTATGCAGTGGAAACGCTAGCGGTTGTTGGATTGGAGGAAGAAGCTTGAATTCTTCTGCCTCGGGCTTACATTGGAGCTGGTCCGATCCTAAGACTCCTCAATGGAACCAATCCATGTTTCCTAAAGTCCCCATTCGAACACAATGCGGCAATGGCAGTTCGTCTTGTCGTGGTAATATCTGTATAGCTGTGACAAACGGTTCATCGCCAATCTTTGGTGAAAGATGTAACGCGTCTCGTGCTTTCATTTGCGCGGTTGATTCTGGTATACACTTTCTCCTTTGTTTTCACCGTAAGAGTATATAATAACGATTTATCTTCTCGCTGCTGCAATTATTCGAAAGGGAACATAATCAGGTTGAAAAGCAAACACCAAAGAGTATTAGTTTCAAGAATTTCTTTCAGCTCTTTAGGCTTCTATTGTTGGTTACGTTATAACATGTTATGGTAGTGTTTAGTATTCCTTTGTAAATTGTAAACGCAAATGGAACGCGTTTGAGCTTTGCGTTTACAGCTACAAAATTATGTTATGAAACAGTGTGATTTTATTTTTTGACAAATTTGAAGCAATAGTGATCTTAATCTCTGCCTGATTTCTCTGCTTTGCAGATTTCAGATGTCACAACTGTCACGGTGAATATCGAGTTATCCTCTGTGTAGTAAGCGGTTTAATTCTCTTCACCACATTCGCCATTATACTATGGTTCTCAATCTACAAACGTAGCAAGAAACGCCGGAAATCCCGAAAAGTATCAAACCCGGCTTCGTCTTCTTCCTCAGCTTTAGTTCCTCCCTCATGGAAGATATTCACGAGCGAGGAGCTGAGATCAATGACGAAGAACTTCAGCGAAGGAAACCGTCTTGCCGGTGATGCCAAAACCGGCGGAACCTATAGCGGCGGTTTATCAGACGGGAGGAAAGTGGCGGTCAAGAGACTGAAGAGGTCGAGCTTTCAGAGGAAGAAAGAGTTCTACTCGGAGATTAGAAGAGCCGCTAAGCTTCATCACCCGAACGTAGTCGCCATCAAAGGATGTTGCTATGATCACGGAGACCGGTTCATTGTTTACGAGTTCATAGCCAGTGGACCGCTCGATAGATGGCTGCACCATGTCCCTAGAGGTGGTAGGAGCTTAGACTGGAACATGAGACTGAACATTGCCACAACTCTTGCTCAAGGAATCGCGTAAGTAAAAAAATCTTGATACTTATATATATATATAGCTTTCGTCTTTTTGGAGAAAGATTACAACTTTGAAAACGTTTGGTTTAAAATAAAAAACAGGTTTCTACACGACAAGGTGAAGCCGCAAGTGGTGCACCGGGACATTCGAGCGAGCAACGTGCTGCTCGACGAGGAGTTTGGAGCTCATCTAATGGGAGTTGGTCTGTCGAAGTTCGTCCCTTGGGAAGTGATGCAAGAGAGAACGGTCATGGCGGGTGGGACCTATGGTTACCTCGCGCCTGAGTACGTTTACAGGAACGAGCTCACGACGAAGAGCGACGTTTACAGCTTCGGAGTCCTTTTGCTAGAGATTGTGAGTGGTCGCAGACCGACTCAGGCGGTTAACTCTTCGGTTGGGTGGCAGAGCATATTCGAATGGGCCACGCCTTTGGTCCAGGCGAACCGGTGGTTAGAGCTTCTTGATCCGGTGATAACGTCCGGTTTACCGGAGGCGAGTGTGGTTCAGAAAGTTGTGGACTTGGTTTATTCTTGTACTCAGAATGTGCCGTCGATGCGTCCTAGGATGTCTCATGTTGTTCATCAGCTTCAGCAATTAGTCCCACCTTCAGAGATTAAGTAGTTAGAATAATTGTGTTAGAATTAAAATATGTGCGAAAGGCTAAACGATGTCGTGACAGAGAAGCTTCTGGAAGTTATAGGGTTACAGCTAAGGAGCTTGTTAGCTAAGTAGCTATGGATAAAAATATAATAAAGCTTGGTCTCCAAGTTTAAGACTTTCGTATTATATATATAAAAAGCTAAAACCCCAACATGTGACAGATCATATTCAAAGCATTTAAAAAAAAAGTTATTGTCTTTTCTTTCTTAAGTTGGTTACTTTGCTTCATAGCTTTTGCAATATTCTGATCCTGAGTATAACTTCATCTCTATTCACTAAACCACCGGTTTATTCTTCTGGATTTTTTTCATATAAAGCTTTCATCTTTTTGCCTTCTTCTGCCTCAAGAATTGAAAAAAACATGAAGATGTTTCTTTGGTGCTTTAAACCCAAGTTCTACAAGAAAAGGTTAGCTTTCTTTGTTCTTTGTTCAAAAGAGTTTTTTCAACTAATGTTTCTTTATTAATTAAATCCTTTGTTCGTGGTGAAAATGCAGCAAATCTACAACCACCTACATGAAGATTCGGCTTGATACAGTGAGGAAAAAAAGGATTGCGATGGTTAAGTTTTTGAAAATGGACATTGTGGAATTTCTCAAGAATGGCCTTGATTATAATGCGTTTACGAGAGTAAAACCAAACTTATTTCTCTAATTGTTATTTCTAATTCTTAGCTTCCTTTGATATTAAATTTTGAGACCTTTTTGCAGGCAGAAGTGTTACTCGAAGAGCTTAGAATTATATCGTGTTATGATATCATCGAACGTTTCTGCGACTGTATCTCTGAAAATCTCTCACTGATGCTGAAGAAAAGGTTCTTAAATTTATCCCTTAAGTCTATAGATTTCAATCTAAAAGGTTTAAAAAATTACTAATTTTTGTTCTTGTTTTCTCAGGGAATGTCCTGAAGAATGCAGAGAAGCTGTTTCCTCGTTGATATATGCAGCGGCATGGGTTCCTGATGTTCCTGAACTTAAGGATCTTAGAGCCGTCTTCACGCAACGATTTGGGAATTTCATTCGTTCTTCAGTAAATTATGAGGTTGGTTTATTGAACTTAATAGTCTAATCTTTGCCGCATTTTCTTGCAACTGACTATATATTGTAATCTTGAAATCTTGCAGCTCGTTGAGAAAACTGAATTGCGAAGAAGACCTTCACGGGAACTCAAGATTCAGACAGTGAAAGATATTGCGAATGAGTTTTCGATTAACTGGGATCCTACATCTCTGAATCTGTTTCTTCTTAGACAAACTTCAGCTCTGCAGGTAAGATATGTCTTCTGAATTTTTTGACTAAGAGAAAAAAAAAACATCATTCTCTCAGTTTTTGTTGTTCTAATGTCTGAAAAAATTGTGTAGATTGAGGATAAGGTGGAGACAGGAGCTCATGATCCGAAGATTGAGACGGAGAAAAGTATCAGAGATGATCAAAGCGGTGATGAATCGGTTCTTTCACAGAGTTGGACAAGAGATTCTTTGTCCAAAGGCAGTTTGAGTTCGAGTTCGAGCTCAAGTTTTAGTTCTCTAAGAAGTGAGAAGAAGAAGAATAAGAAGAAGATTTTGCCGTATGGATTAATCTCTCCTCCATACAAGAAACCAGGAGGTCGAAACAATGATAAAGCACTAGATGAGAAAGAAGAGGTGAAGAAGAAGAGTAATGATCAAGAAATCTCAAGGTTACTTAAACCACAAGGCAGTGATAACGAAGCTTCCTCAACAAGAGAGAACGAGAGAACGCTGTCGTTTCAGAGACCTAAGCTCTTAGAATACGAGGAAGTGGTGGCTCGGCTTGCAGCTCTTCGCCGGAAATAAGAGAGAAACTTAACTAATCAAGGGTTGCTCTATGTAATTAAGTTTATATTGGTAATTTACTAACTAGATTCCATTAAACATGTAGTTATACTTACTGTAGTTTGAACTTAGTTCACTAGTTGAGTTGAATCTTTTCACAAAATGTAAAAGAGAACAGATTAGTGCTATATTGTTATTCTTTTATTTTATTTATTTTATGCAGTAATTAAAGATTATTCTTGTGCTTGACAAGTAGATAACAGCGAACAAGGGTGGTGAAGCCGAAGCCTTCTTGAAGGAATAAAAAAACCTAACTGTTCTCGTTGGTCCAATCAAAAGCAATAATTTTCCCCTAAACTTTAATTATAAGATTAATAAAATAAGATAGCTATAAAAAAATTAGGTCTACTCTTTAATTATCCATCACAATAGCTTTGTTAGATACTTAAACATGTTTTTAGTGTATTTTAAAATGAGTTTTTTAATCTTAATCTCATCGTTCATGTTTTTTTGTTCGTAATGGTAGAGACAAAGGAAAAAATATAGTAATCAAACAGCAAACAAAAATAAAATGAATTGTTTGTTCACAAACGGATTAGTCTATATAATCCCCCTATTACCACCACTCTAACCCTTGTCCCTTGGTGATTAACAAAAGATTCTAGACGACAAAAGAAAACAAATTTTTTTTTTTTGACGTCAAAAAAAACAAATTTAAAAGTGAGAAAACGTTATATTCGCTTGTTACCTTTAACTTTGTCCACGTCATTTACCCTGAGTAGCCCAACGAAAAAAGGAAAAAAAGAAAGAAAATCGGAAATCGGAAATCACCTTTTTTCAAACAACTAAAAACGACGTCGGATCTACTGGAGAAAAATAGAAACCCATCTCTTCTCTCTCCATTATTATTCCCCAAAGCTTTAGCTTTCGAGTTTCGAGTTTCGACTTTCGACTTTCTCTTCTCTCTCTCTTAGATCGATCTGAAAGTAACTAGTGAGAGAGCAGAGAGGAGGAGAAGAAGAAGAAGAAGAAGATGGGTTGTGCTCAATCCAAGATCGAGAACGAAGAAGCTGTTACTCGTTGCAAAGAGCGAAAACAGTTCATGAAAGATGCTGTCACCGCTCGTAACGCTTTCGCCGCCGCACACTCCGCTTACGCCATGGCTCTGAAAAACACCGGAGCTGCTCTCTCCGATTACACTCACGGCGAATTTCTAGTCTCCGGTCACTCTTCATCCGGCGCCGCAATCGCTTCTACTTCCTCACTTCCCATCGGCATATCTCCTCCTTCCCCTTCTTCCGCGGCCGCGATTTCTAATTCCGCCGGTGCCTCTTCCTCCGCATCCTCGGCGATCCCTCAGCCTATTACCGATACTCTCCCGCCTCCTCCTCCTCCTCCACTGCCTCCTCTCCAGCGAGCTGCTACTATGCCGGAGATGAACGGTAGATCCGGTGTTCCGTCTGGAAATGGACTCAACGGGACCATAATTGAAGAAGACGGAACCCTAGATGATGACGATGACTCCGAATTGGAGAACCATGACCGTTTGGTTAGGAAATCGAAAAGCCGTGGAGGTAGCAATAGAGGCAGAACGATGATTGACGATCGCCAGGAAGCGCCGCCTCCTCCTCCGCCGCAATCGGTGGCGGCGAATTCAAGGCCGATTCCGCCGTCGCGTCAGCACCACCATCAACAACCGGAACCTTACTTCGATTATTTTTTCCCTAATGTTGACAACATGCCTGGAACCACTTTAGAGGACACTCCTCCTCCTCCTCCACAGCCACAACCACAACCACAACCACAGGCGAAACCTGCTCCTCCTCAACCAACTTCACCATCCACAGAGGAAGATGAGGAAGAAGAAGAAGAAGACGAGGACGAGGAGGAAGAGGAGACGGTGGTTGAACGAGAACAACCGGTGGAGGAAATGCTGAAGAGAGTGGAAGAACCGAGAGTGGATTTGGAAAAAGCTGCTAATTTTAGAGGGATGAAGAAGAGCAAAGGGAAGGCCATCGCCGGAGAGAGGAGGGGAGGGAGACCGGTGACGACGAACTTGGCGAACGTATTCATAGAGATTGATGATAATTTCTTGAAAGCTTCTGAAAGTGCTCATGAGGTTTCCAAGATGCTTGAAGCCACCAGGCTCCATTACCACTCTAATTTTGCAGATAACCGAGGTACTATTTGGATTCGATCATCATTTTCTTGGAACAAGATGATCTTTTTATACATAATAGATTAGCTAAAGTTTGCAAGATAATGTTTTTTTTGTTGTTGTTGTGACAGGCCATATTGATCACTCTGCTAGAGTGATGCGTGTAATTACATGGAATAGATCGTTTAGAGGAATACCAAATACTGATGATGCGAAAGATGATTTCGATTCCGCAGAGAACGAAACTCATGCTACTGTTCTTGACAAATTGCTAGCTTGGGAAAAGAAGCTCTACGACGAAGTCAAGGTAACCATTACCAAACTTGTGTGTTTAGTCTTTTTCTCGTGCAATCTTCTCTTCTGATAAATAAAAAGTCTCTCTTTTTGTCTCTTTTTGATTGTTTTTGGTATGTTTTGTTGGATGTTAGGCCGGTGAACTCATGAAAATCGAGTACCAGAAAAAGGTTGCTCATTTGAATCGTGTAAAGAAGCGAGGTGGTCACTCGGATTCATTAGAGAGAGCTAAAGCAGCAGTTAGCCAGTTGCATACGAGATACATAGTTGATATGCAATCCATGGACTCTACAGTTTCAGAGATCAATCGTCTTCGTGATGAACAACTCTACGTAAAGCTCGTTCACCTTGTGGAGGCGTAAGTGTCTGAGTGCTCGTAGTGTGGTAGATATGTTTTTCCTTGATGATGTTTTAGATTTTGAGTTATATTTGAAAAACTGTGTTGCAGGATGGGTAAGATGTGGGAGATGATGCAAATGCATCATCAAAGACAAGCCGAGATCTCAAAGTTTCTGAAATCGCTAGACGTTTCGCAAGCGGTGAAAGAAACAAACGATCATCACCACGAACGAACGATCCAGCTCTTGGCCGTGGTTCAAGAATGGCACACGCAGTTTTGCAGGATGATTGATCATCAGAAAACGTACATAAAGTCACTCGGCGGGTGGCTAAAGCTGAATCTCATCCCTATAGAAAGCACGCTCAAGGAGAAAGTGTCTTCACCTCCTCGAGTTCCAAATCCGGCGATCCAAAAGCTCCTCCACGCATGGTACGACCGTTTAGACAAGATCCCTGACGAAATGGCGAGAACCGCGATAATCAATTTCGCGGCGGTCGTAAGCACGATAATGCAGCAGCAAGAAGAAGAGATCAAGCTCAGATACAGATGCGAGGAGACGAGAAAAGAACTGGGAAGAAAAATCAAACAGTTCGAGGATTGGTACTATAAATACATGCAGAAGAGAGGACCTGAGGATGTGAATCCGGATGGTTCAGAAGCGGATAACGAACACAAAGACGAGGTCGTCGTGAGGCAATTCAATGTAGAGCAGATTAAAAAGAGGTTGGAGGAAGAAGAAGAGTCTTACCAGAGACAGAGCCAACAAGTTCGAGAGAAGTCACTGGCTAGTCTTCGAAGTCGCCTTCCCGAGCTTTTTCAGTCAATGTCTGAGGTTGCGTATTCGTGTTCGGATATGTATAGAGCGGTTACGTATGTGACTCATCAGCGCCAAAGCCAAAGCGAAAGGCATCAGAAACCTAGCCAAGGACAGAGTTCGTAAGAATTTCTTGTAAAGAACAGAGTAATGTCTTCTTTTTCTTTCATCTGATTTTTTTTAAGCATACACAAATACAAAATATATAGCTAAGTATTTATCATTGCTTTCGTATACTATTAACTTTTGGGTTTTATAAGGTCCGTTATATAAGGTCCGTTACATGAGTTCTTCTGAGTATTGGGTTTTAAAGAATTGTTCTGAGTAATGAGTTTTGTATTGTAATTTTGTACAGTGATATATTTTTGTAATGACTGTAATTTGTCAAACTCATTTTCGTCATATACATCTGGGTGGGAGTTTTTACTTTATTTTAATTTGTGTTTGTATCCGACTAACGCTAAAAAATTTGATTAATCTATGTAAGTTTTTTCCTGATATACTGCCATATGTATTTTTTCTAAAAAATATATATTTTTATTGATTTTTTTTTATTAAACAAATATAAAAAACAAAGTTTCCATTTTTTTTTTCTTTCTTCAAACAATTTTCTTCCATCTAATAAATATAAACAAAAATTAAATTACTCAAATAAATTTTATATAATATATAATAAGTTATGTGTCACTTTTTAATACAAAATATATATTCTAATAAAATAATATTTTTTCAGACATGTTTTTACATTACATCTAAAAAACTAACATTTGTCACTTAAAAAAAAACTATTTTTATTGAATTCTCTTTCATCAAATAAACACAAAAACAAAATTTTCAAACAAATACAAAAACAAAATTTTAGCTTTGTTCTCTTTCTCCTAACGATTCTCTTTCATCAAACATAAATATAAATCAAATCATTCAAACAAATCTTACATGTATCATTTTTTCTCTTTTTTCTATTTATAATATTACATAATAAAGTAAAGTCTTATTCTAAAAACAGTTCTGATATGCTATCATATATCATCTAAAAAACTGACATGTGTCACTTTTTTATTTTTTTTATAACAATCTCTATTGAATTCTTTTTCATTAAACAAACACAAAAACAAAAGTTAAGTTTTGAAACTAATATAAGTTACTTTTTTTTTCACTATCTCTATTGAATTCTACTTAATCAAATATGCATAAAACAAAGTTTTAGTAGGGGTTATTGGTTTTTGTATTTTGATGGATTTAGAAATATTTTTTGAATTTGATAACTTTATTGATTTCAAAATCAGCAAAATGGAAAAAAATCAAATCCACTCAAATACCAAGATTATACCTTGTATTTGGATTCTTTGTATTTTAGTCATGCAAATTCTTCTAAATCCATTCAAAATTTAATTAAAACTCAAATTTTTATAATATTTAGATTTTAAATGTATAGAACCAATAAAATCTTATTTCATAATGGATTTTAAAATCATATAACCAATAACACTGTATTTGAATATAAATTTTAAAATACAAAAACCAATAATACTGAATTTGATTTGGATTCTCAAATCTATTAAAATACAAGAACCAATAACAATTCCTTAGTTTTTTTCCTCTTCTCCGAACAATTCTATTTTATCCAACAAATAGAAGTAAAAATTAAATCACTCAAACAAATTTTATATAATATAGTAAGATCATGTGTCATTTTTTTCTTTTTTTTTATTTTTTTTTTCCCAATAATAAAAATATATTTTTAAATAATATGAAGTAAAGTCAAGTGTCTAAATTTTATTAGAAGCATTTTTGATATACTATCACATGGCATTTAAGAAACTAACAATTGTAAGTTGAAACCAAATTATGGAGGAATCATCTGAAAAGTCTCTGCATACAAAAGAGATGAATTAAATAATCTTTTTGCGTGTCAGATACCATAGACATGGACGTAGAAAGAAAAAAAAAAACAATAAGTAGAATGCAAAGACCACCTCGTCTATTAGTCCAACTCTATTGTAAAGTACTTTCCAGAACAGAATTTCCGCTAGCTGAAGCCGAGTATCTCATTCGGAAGCAAGTGAGAAATTTTTAATCCTTTAATTCCAGAGCTTAGATATTAAGAGGATAACATGAAATCTTAACGAGGAATCCTAATACTTGTAGATCATTCGATACATCTTAAATATAATAACAATCCAACTCTGAAAAATAATTTAACTTCTCGATAAGGCAGATGTATCTTATCACGGACTTCACTTGGATGAATAGCAGTGGATCTAACAGCGCCATCAAAGATTTTGATTTTGGAGGTTTGTCTGAAGTACAAATTTAGGGTTAGAAAGAGATAGTGGTATTGTAGGGTTAACCCTAAACAGTTTAGGGTTGAAATTCTGTTTTAAATAGAAAGTTGTAAAAGTCTATATTTGTATTGTACATATGTTACAATATTTGGAAGTATATTGAACTATCAATATACTTGTATACTTGAATATCATTAGGACATAGTTTGGTTAACAAAACGCTTGATAACTTTTAAGTAGGTATATAATACTCTTTCCGTTTCAGAAAGTTTGATGTTTTAGAAAAAAAATTTGTTCCACAAAATTTAATTTTTTAGATTATATTTAATCTATTTCTTTTTTTAAGAACACTTTATTTTTGGAAATAGAAAATAAATATTAAAATAACTAATATAAAAGAATATTAAAATAAAAAAAGTAATTGAAAAGAATAATTAATGATTATTTAAAACTTGTGAAAAAACTAAAACATCATGCATTAAGGAACGGAGGGAATAACACTTATCGATGATCGATTATATATATATATATATATATTCAATAAATCTTGCTAAAAGACCAATGTAGGAACTAGATCTAATTTGTTTATGTGAATAAATATATTTCCACTGGTAAGGCTAACGAGTAAGGAGTCTTGAAAATTGGTTCAAATACTTTATTTATTTATTGTGATTACTATAATGTTCTTTGGAGTATGTTAATCAGGGAAAGAATCTATACTCCATTTCATTTGAATTCTTCTTTTTTTTTCTTTGATTATTGAAAATAAATTTCAGGTCTATAGAAAAGTCAAGACTAATTATTGGAGAAAACTCAGCTTACATATAGACTTTCTTTCCAGATATGCGAATGAATCAAAAACAAAAATTTATATCTATGTGGATGTAGTAGCTGATGTAGAAACATTTTTAACCGGATCACTCTTCGAAGTGTTGGTATTTTTTATAACAGTAGCTAATTAAAATATTTAAGGTTATTAAGGAAAAAAATAAAAATCAGTAGTCCCTGTGTGGGTTTCCAATTCTGTCTCCTTACCACTCGACCACAAGACCCGAGACATATGGTTCGAACTTGAATTCTTGTTTTTTTTTTTTAATTCAGCTTTTATGATTTATTGAGTAATTGTGTTTTAATTTCATTTTATTCTTTAAACGTGTGTATATTTGAATATCAGTGGGAAATATATAAGAAAAAGACACTTCAATTTATAAGCTTCGACCATAACATATGATAAACTCCCAATTCCAAATCCCAACCATCCTCATAGTTGACTCATTCTTACATAAGATTTACTTTTGATATTTTTTTTATTTTTAATAGTAGAGTTTTATAGAAATATCTTAAGAGCTTCAACAACTGGGATAAGGAACCTTACATGCTTCTAACATTATACGAGATTTTGGAGAACTAATACTATAGTCTGGATTTTTTATATAGTCACATAGACACGATTCCTGCACCTTAAGTCTGTTGCAGCATTCTGGAGTCGGAGGTAGTCCGATGGTTGTAGCAGGTAAGCAAGGCAAGAGCCTTAACGGATTACACAAGTTTTCCTCTTCTCTGAAACCTTCTACGGCGGTTGCTCTGATCGGAACAGAAGACGACATGGCGATGATGACGAATGTGATGAGTATTAATGTTGTGAACTTCATTAATTTTCTTTGCTTTTAATTTGTGTGTGTTTTTTATTTGTGTTCAAGTATATTTGAGATTTTTGTTTTGAGGTTATTAGGATTAGAACGTTCTTATATATAGCTAGATGTGAGATTTACATAATCGTAATTGATAATTTTGATTAGTACTTGCCTCAATAAGAAACGCTCATACATTTTGGGTAGCCTACATTTGGCCATCATACAGAACAACATGAAGATATCCAATAATGATCACACACGTGTCGAATGTGTAGCTGTGCAACTATTTCCACAAATGATATCCCTTAAATTATATAACTAAGGTAACCCACACTTGGTTTAAATTATAGAATTAAATATGTAATATTTGATTGATTTCATAAAAAATCTTAAAGTATATAACTAGGATAACCCACACTTGGTGTATATTATAGAATCAAATATATAATATTTGATTGATTTCATAAAAAATTAAGAGTTTATGTTAAAAAAAAGAACACTTTTTTATTAAATTAAGAATCTACATTTCATTAAGTTTGATGAAATGTATTTCTTCTATTTCAAAAAAAGTGTCACTTTGACACTTTTTCACACAAATTAAGAAAATGATGAATTATGTTTTACCTATTGTTCACACACAAAATAACATTCTCTTTCTTATTAAAACAATAAAATTCAAAAGTTAAAACTTGATATTTATTTAAAATTATGCATTGAAAATGTAAAGTGACACTTTTTGCGAAACAAAACTAAATTTTTAGAATGACACTTATTTTGAAACGGAGAGAGTAATATTAAATCAGTCAATAAAATAAAATAAAATAATAATGACATATTTTTTAGAGTTTATATTTAAAAAAGTTTACTATTTAGTTGTAAAGTTGGATAAAAAAATACAAATGTAAAATGAGACGTAGCATTTTTCAAAATATATGTTTATAAGAAATCTTATTATATTATATGAGTTAGAGCTTCTAAATTTCTAATTTTTTCAGAAGCAGCTATAATATGCTTCCATGTGTCATTTAAATAATTGACATATGTCACTTTTTATTTAGTTATTAAATTTTCAAATTTTTATTTATTTATTAAATTTTCAGATCTTCAAACAAACATAAAAACAATTTGTTTTTTTTTTCATTCTCCAAACAATTCTCTTTCATCCAACAAACATAAATAAAAATTAATTTATACAAATAAATTAGATATAATATAGCAAAGTTATGTATCATTTTTTTTCCTATCTCTACTATATTTTTTTTTTTAAAAGTAGCTCTGATATGCGGCCACGGGTCATCTTAAAAACTGATATATATATATCACTTTTCTAACTATTTCTGTTGAATTCTCTATCATCAAACAAACATAAAAACAAATTTTCTATTTTTTTTCTCTTCTCCAAATGACTCTCTTTCATCTAATAAACATAAATGGAAATTAAATCACTCAAAGAAATCTTATATAATATAGTAAGTTTATATGTCATTTTTCTATTTCTACTAAATTCTCTTTCATCGAACAAACATAAAACAATGTTTAAGTTTTTTTTCTCTCAACACAATTCTCTTTCATCTAAAAGTAAGGTTTTTTAAGAATTAGCTATAATATGTTTTCACGTGTCATTTAAGAAATTAACATCTATCAGTTTTTTATTTATTTATTTTTAACTATCTTTATTGAATTCTGTTTCTTCAAATGCCTCCACATGTCATTTAAGAAATCGACATATGATACTTTTTTTTATTTATTTTTAACTATCTTTATTGAATTCTGTTTCTTCAAACAAATAGAAAAGCAAATTTTCAAATTTTTTTCCATTCTCCAAACGATTCTTTTTCATCCAACAAATAGAAATAAAAATTAAATAACTCAAACAAATAGTATAGAACAGAATTTCCTCTAGCTGAAGCCGAGTATCTCATTTGGAAGCAAGTGAGAAATTTATAATCCTCTAATTCCCGAGGTTAGATATTGAGAGGATAACATGAAATTTTAACGGGGAATCTTAATACTTGTAGATCATTCGATAGATCTTAAATATAATAACAATCCAACTCTAAAAAAAATAATTTAGATCGATTTGGCTTCGGAAAGCATTTAACTTCTCGATTAAGGCAGATGTATCTTATCACCGATTTCACTTGGATTAATAGCAGCGGGTCTAACGGCGCCATCGAAGTTTTGCTTTTGCAAATTTAAGGTTAGAAAGAGATAGTGTTATTGTAGGAGATGGTGGGTTAACCCTAAACAGTTGTTTTATATAGAAAGTTGTAAAAGTCTAAATTTGTATTGTACGTATGCTACAATATTTGGAAATTGAACTATCAATATACTTGTATACTTGAATATCATTAGGGCATAGTTTGGTTAACAAAACGCCTGATAACTTTTAAGTGGGTATATAATAACACTTATCGATGATGGATAGTATATATATTCAATAAATCTTGCTAAAAGACCAATGTAAGAACTAGATCTAATTTGTTTATGTGAATAAATATATTTCCATTGGTAAGGCTAACGAGTAAGGAGTCTTGAAAATTGGTTCAAATACTTTTATTTATTTATTGTGATTACTATAATGTTCTTTGGAGTATGTTAATCAGGAAAATAATCTATACTTCATTTCATGTAGATTTTTAATTCTGTCTCCTTACCACTCGACCATAAGACCCGAGACATATGGTTCGAACTTTTTTTTGTTAAAGTGCTTTCATTAAAAATAAAAGTCAAGAGTTACATAAGAGTTACATGGAATCAAACCAGTAGGAGAAGGAAATTGTCATCTTGAAGACCAGAAAACCAACAAAGCTTCACCATGCTTTGTGGCCAATTTTTTCAGCTTTTATGGTTCGAACTTGAATTCTTGTTTTTTTATTCAGCTTTTATGATTTATTGAGTAATTGTGTTATTTTTTTCATTTTTTTCTTTAAACGTTTGTATATTTGAATATCAGTGGGAAATATATAAGAAAAGGACACTTCAATTTATAAGCTCCCAGTTCCAAATCCCAACCATCCTCTTAGTTGACTCATTCTTACATAAGTTTTACTTTTGATATTTTGTTATTTTTAATAATAAAGTTTTATAGAAATATCTTAAGAGCTTCAACAATTGGGATAAGGAATCTTACATTCTTCTAACATCGAACGAGATTTTGGAGAAGTAATACCATAGTCTTGATTTTTTATATAGCCACATAGACACGATTCCTGCACCTTCAGTCTGTCGCAACAACCTCTACTCGGAGGTAGTCCCATGTATGTTGCAGGTAAGCAAGGCAAGAGCCTTATCAGATGACACACGTTTTCCTCTTCTCCAAAACCTTCTACGGCGGTTGCTCTGATCGGAACAGAAGATGATATGGCGATGATAACGAATGTGATGAGTATTAATGTTGTGAACTTCATGTCTTAAAACCTTGGCTGCTTAATTTTCTTTGCTTTCAATTTGTTTGTTTTTTTTTATTTGTTTTCAAGTATATTAGAGATATTAGAAAGTTCTTATATATAGCTAGATGTGAGATTTACATAATCGTAATTCATAATTCTGATTGGTACTTGCCTCAATAAGAAACGCTCAGAGATTTTGGCTAGCCTACATTTGGCCATCATACAAGACAACATGAAGATATGCAATAATGGTCACACACGTGTCGAATGAGTAGCTGTGCAACTATTTCCACAAATGATATCCCTTAAAGTATATAACTAGAGTAACCCAGTAACCCACATTTGGTTTAAATTATAGAATTAAATATGTAATATTTAATTGATTTCATAAAAAAATAAGAGTTTATGTTTAATTTTTAAAATATTTAGTTAAATTAACAATCTACACTTCATTAAATTTGATGAGATGTAATATTAAATCAGTCAATAAAAATATAAAAATAACGATGAAATATTTTTTTCGAGTTTATATTTAAAAAAGTTTCCTATTTAGTTGTAAATTTAGAAAAAAGACATTTTCTCAAAATGTATGTTTATAAGAAATTTTATTATTTATTTATTCTAATATAGTAAAGTTTTTTTTAGAATTAACTTTGAGATGTTATCATGTGACACTTCTAGCACTAACATATGTCATCTATATTTAAAGAAAAATAACTATAAAGTCATTAAAAAAATTCAACTATACTAAACAAAAATAATTAAGATAATTAAGTATAATCTAAAAAGAATAAAAATTACAATATAAAATTTAAAATAAAATATATCATTAAAACAAAAACCGCAATAGAGATTTTATAATAATATATAAACAAAAAAATATATATCTTTTATAATATAGTAATATTTTTTAAATAAACTTTGATATGCTACCATGTAGCACTTTAAAATTTCACATGTATCATACTTTCATTCTACATATTTACATTTAAAAGAAAAACTAGTCAAGAAAAAGAATATAAGAAATTTAACTAAACTAAATAAAAATCATAAAGACAACTAAATACAATCCAAATGAAAATAAAATTAAAACTACAATATAGATTCTATAAAAATTTATAAATAGCAGGAACAATCTATCTATTCTAATAAAGTAAAAAAATTTCAGAAGCAAATAGCACGTAATATTCTGATAATCTGGTCAAGAAAAAAAGAATAATATACAGAAATCAAATCACTCAATGAAGTACAACATATCATATATAATATAGTAACGTCAAAAGTCATTTTTTTTCTACATCTTCTGTATTCACTTTCATCGAACAGATACAAAACAGTATTTTGGCGTTTTCCCATTTCTCTACTATATTATTTTCATTATATCTGTTATTCATATTATTTTAGATTTTTTTAATTTTTATGAGATGACTCCATCGTCTTTTATGCGTGAAAAATAGACTTATTTCTTCATATTTTTTTTATGGCCAATCAAACACAAAAGCATGTACTATTAGCTTTCAAGATTTTTTTATATTAATAGTTCACTATTTCTTTTTCAATTGCGTCAAATCTCAAACCACCACCACTATCACAATATAAATTTTATTTTTGAAGACTTTCTTTTCGATCATTCCGATAGCAGCTTTACTTCTCTAACCTTGTCAAATCTAACATTATTATTTCACCAATCTTTTAACATAAAATTTAAATAATATTTATAAATGATAAACTATTATAAACTAACAATTTTACTAATAAATATAATAAAATAAATTATAAAATTAAATTAGTTAGCTTATCACAAATTCGTGCAACGGAGAGAACTCTCCGATATATTTTTTAAGAATATAACGCCTACAGAAGAGTAGAAACGTTTAGAATATTACGTCAACTATGAAATCCTTCCACATAATCAATGATTAACGAATTTAATAATATAGTTTACTTATACACTCAACCATTCTTAATAAAGTTTAATTATACACACTCAACTAACAAAAAAAAAAATCATCACATATTTATATATATGGAACCTTACCAAACATCTCCTCTCTCATGACTCATGAGTCATGGCCGGAGAAGAAGATCCTGAAGCAACTCCGTCGTCGCCGGAATATAAACCTTTACTTGCATCAAGTCACGATCCAAACGACGACGTTCTAATCTCAAATTATTCCAAGAACGCCCGACGCCGTTTCATCGTCTCTATATTTCTCATATCTTTTGCCTCGATCCTCATCTACATCTTCTGGCCGTCGGATCCACGCATCAAGATCGTACGGGTCAAGATTTCCCACGTGCACGTTCACCGCCGTCCGGTGCCGTCAATAGACATGACGATGCTCGTGACGCTCAAAGTATCCAATGCTGACGTGTACTCTTTTGACTTCACGGCGCTTGACGTGGCGATTGATTACAGAGGGAAGACGTTAGGTCACGTGAATTCAGATGGTGGGCACGTGAGGGCCATGGGTTCGTCTTACCTGGAAGCGGAGACGGAGCTGGACGGCGTCACGGTGTTCTCTGACGTCATTCACCTGATTAACGATTTGGCTAAGGGGTCCGTCGAATTTGACACCGTTACGGAGACCAACGGAAAACTTGGCGTTTTGTTCTTCCGTTTTGCTTTGAAGGTAAGGTACTTGAACTCGAGTTTTACGCAATTATTCTTCGGTTAAATAGTTCTCATTATGACAATTAATAAGACTTTATACTTTCTCATCATTTTAATTGAATTGTCGACATTATTTGATTTTTTTTTTTACAATATTTTGATGAACAGGCAAAAGTAGCATGTGGGATTCAGGTAAATACAGTTAATCAGACAATTTCTCGTCAAAGTTGTAGACCTGTCTAATTCAAGCTATATTTTGGTACGCTGATTTTTTTTTTAATTTAATTATTAATGCAAGAAAAGAGTAGATTCGAACCAATATTCAAAATATTATACTCTTAACAGATTTTTGAAAAAGCAAATGGAACATATCAAACAAATAATGCTAAACAGATTTTTGAAGAAAAATGTTGGTTCACAATTTATTGACTAAAAGCAAATGGAACACATCAAACAAATATGTTTCTTCCATGAAACTCTCTCTAACAATCATAAAGAAAATCAAAACCACAATAAGCTCGACAGTTAATTTTATTTTAAGAGACATGACACAACAACATTTGTCACTAAACAACAGTCATTAGCAACACAACCAACCAGAAAAAAATTGATCACCTGAAAACTTTAAAGGAATGGTTAGTGCAAGTGAAGCCTCCATCAATCATCAGGTTATCTCCGCTCACGTACCGCGACTCGTCGCTCGCCAAAAACAGAACCGCGTTCGCAACGTCATCAACCGTCAATTCAACCCCTTTCAGATTCGCGTTTGCAGCCGCGAAGCTCCTGAAACCAGCAAACGCATCCTCCGTTCTCTCCTCCTCAGGGAGATGAGCCAGCGCGAGTTTTGTCGCAACCGCGTAAGGCGAGACGCAGTTCACACGTATCCCGTGCTGTCCAAGCTCTGCCGCAACGCTCCTCGTCAAGCCTAGAACAGCGTGCTTGGAACCAACATAAGCGTGAGGACCAACGCCTCCCACAACGCCTCCCACGCTACACAGTGACACTATCGACCCGTTCTTCTCCGGAATCATCACACGAGCCGCGTGTTTCATGCAGAGGAAAGCTCCTTTCACGTTCACGTCGAAGATCAACTCGAACTCACTCGAGCTGTTGTTGCGGATGTCGGGACACGGTGCTCCGCACAGACCGGCATTGTTGATGAGTATGTCAAGCGTACCGAACCGCTTGACTGCAAAGTCAACCGCATTGCTAATGTCTTCTTCTACTCTGACATCACCATGGACGAAACAAGCCTCTCCCTCACCACTAACAAGGCTTTTACACACCTCATCTCCGAGATCATCTTGCACATCGACGATGCAGACTTTTGCTCCGTGCTTGTGGAACAGACGAACAATGCTCTCACCTATCCCTGTGGCTCCTCCGGTTATCAACGCCACTTTACCTAAAAGCCTGTTCAATAGCAAGAACGCATGAGATCATCAAAAGCTATTTAGAAGATGTTCAAAGCACTGTACAATCAGAGGAAGAAAAAGCCATGAAAAAAGAAAAAAATAAAACTTTATTGAAAAATTGATCTCACGCCACAAAACTACAATGGGGGGGAAAGAAAGGACCACAAAATTAGTTAAAACTTAAAACAGAAACGTGCGAAAGAGGTAAGATGGTGACAGATGCGACACAAAATTTACAAATTGGTCGAAATTTCTCATGAAAAGTAAAGAGACTGAAATCAAGAAATGTAGAACAGAGATGATGAACATTTCAAGATTCGACATGAGGCAGGTATCGAAATCAAAGCCATAAGAACCAAACAAACACAAATTGGCTAAATCTCAAAGGCACTAAATGAAACGGAAAATCCATAGCCGAGTCACAAAAATTAAAAATTTACAGTGACCCAAGAAGAAAAATGGCAAAGTAAGTGAAGATCGAGAGAGAAAATCAACCAAAAGGAGTTTAATCAAACACAAATGAAACGCAGATATGAAGCTTTGTTTTACCTTTGAGCAGGGAGAGAAGAAGATTCAGTGTTCGTTGACATGATAGCTTTTAGTTCTTAGATCTTGTCGTTTCTACTCGATCTGGGCTACTTTCGCTCGCTGGAAACTCTACTCAAACACTATCCCACACAGACAACTGTCTTCTCCACCAACCTCAGCAAGAATGAAAGCTGCTTTAGACCGCGTAACTGATAAGTATGAGATTCTATTATCGGGCCAATATGGGCCTTTCTTAATTTCCTAATGGGCCGTTATTGTTTTATCAAGTAAGCCCTTGTTCAGTACTATAATCACATGATTTGTTTTTTTTTTGTATATTTCTGTTCAAAGTGGCATAATGATTCTCTGTATCAAGGAGCTATTTAGCCTCGAGATATTATCACTTTTATACCAATCCATATCGGCATAATCTCTTTATAGGATCAGTTTTTGGATAAAAATCCAGTTTGGACCGACGTGTATTTTAAATTAAATTCCGATATTGTTCATGTACTTCCAAGTAAAAACTTATTGATCGTAAGTAAGCAATCTGTTCAAATTACATCACTTCATTTTTTTTAATGGATTGTTTCAATGCTTTTTAAGTCAGTTAATCAGTCACGTAACATTGATTTTTCTTTTTTTCTTTTTGTGATTAAGAGAAAAGGAAAAATACAGAACTCATAGTAATCACTTTGTAAACCTCTGGGATCAAACAACATCGTTTAATTAAGATTTTGACAGAGTATAGACTTTTAAAAGAAATACACAGTACAGTTTCTACTTCGATTAAATTAACAGAGAACCATGAATATAAAACTATAATTATTGATTACATGATGATGTGTTATTTGTGGAGGGATGAAGAAGAAGAAGAAGGAGAAGGAAGCCATTGATATTCATGATGATGATACCTACACTTGAACGATCTAGGATGCTTCGACGGTGAACACACACACTTCTTCTTTCCACCGCCACCGTCACGTTGACCGACGGTGGTTACCACCTCTGTAACCACCGTCACTTCTGCCGCCGGCATATTTTCATGCAAGCCCTCCGGAGGAATAACAAGAGGAAGAATCTTTTTGTAACACATTTTTTTTTTGTTTCACACTCAAATAAAAAAATTAAAGATTCTTCTTCTTGAAGATTTCGTGTGTGTGGTTTACCAAAAGAAGTCGACTATAAATACTAGTGACTCGTGATGACAAAATAAAAATAAAAAGAAACACTAAGTCTTCTTTTCGAACTTCAAATATTTCAATTACATATTGTATTATTTATCCTGTAGGTATTGTGTGTGTAGATGATATGTCGCCAAACAAAAATTTGTAACGTCACACGTGGCTAATGGTTTTGATGCACGTCTTGAGATTTGTACAAAAACCATGAGGTCAGAAATTTGTTCTAGTGTATATCTTCTGATCTTTCTATTTAATAAAATTGCAAGGAAATAAATTGATAAAGAAACAGATATTGCTATCATGAGTTTTTGATTACCAAAAGAAAGTCATTTATTTATAATATAATATAGTAATTTTATTTTAATAACTAAAACGAAATATAATAAGTAATTTTTTTAAAAAATGCAATAATATAACTTCCCGAAAAATCATCCATTTTAGTTTTATTCTTGTCCAAGTACACTTAACTGTGAAGTTTTTATGGGATTTGATGTATTAATGCTTTGCAGAAAAAAGAAAATGTATTAATGCTGGTATAATAGCACCTCATATAATATATTAACTTTTGTTGAAAAAGCAATACTTGTTATGTAATCGGAGGAGTGATGTCTCGAGTTCGAGTTCTTTTATCGTGATTTAAATTATAGTTGATCATTGTATAAATACTTCGATTACAATTTGAGAAAAAGAAAAGGTTTTGGGTGAAAAAATTGTGAGCCCATATGAAAGAAATGGTGGACCATACTTTTAGATGAAACAAAAAAAGTTTTGAAGAAATTATATGGCAAAGAGGAAATGAAGTTGATTGGAGAAGATAAGCGGTGGGAGTGGGCCGATTACGACATCACTTTTCCTCTCTCTTTGGGCTTCTCTTTGTCACTCATCTTCTTTAGATAAACTTACCTTTTTGAGGTTATATATATCACAACGACAAAAACTCTCTATTTTCTACCTCTAATTGATAAATTTCGCTAAATTTTTTCGTGATTAACTAGATCCAATTGTGGAAGTTCTCATTTTAACCCAATGGTTTAATAAAAGTTTATTAATACTTCTACATCACGAGATTTAGATTTCAAATCCTAGAAAGTACAAATTCTTTTATTAATCTGTTTAACATGATACAAATTAATAGAGATAAGCTGACAAGAGATCTTTAGCGTGGTGCAAGTAGAATTGTCAGATAAATCTAATGATGTTATGTGGTGCAGAATATAGGATGTATGATGCAAGTACAGCCGTAATATATGATGTATGATGCAAGTACAGCCGTTAATTTTAAATCTTCATAGCCGTTAGTCTTAAATCTTCATAGACGGTAGAATTAACCGTTAGAAAATCATCAATGTAACAATTTTTATAATTTGCAATAAATTAATAAATCAGTAAACTGATTCTTCATCTATAAAAAAAAATCATTTATTCATAGACTGATTAGTGAGGGATTTAGTCATAAAATACCAAAACTTGTAAGATTCAATTAACTTTTTTGTAATGTTATTTGTATTTTTGGAAGTGATGTTTTTACTTTTATGAGCTTATCTCAAGATTAAAAGGAACAGCTAGCTTTTTCTTTCTAAATTTTGGATATGATTTTCAAAAGTTATGGCCTACTTTTTCAATACTACTTTTACTAAAAGAATCAGTTTCTTATCGCTATACGACTTTGTAGTACAACTAATAAATAAATAAAAAAGAAAATTGAAATGAGTACGAATGCAATATATATAACTCTGTTATTAAATAATTGTTGGCGTTCCAGCTGTAAAACGAGCTGGAAAATAATCCTAGAAATTGAAATGGAAATGAAGAAAAAAATCAAAAAATAAAAGTTTAGCGGATTGAAGTAGAAAAGTTACAAGTTGAAACTAAAGTGTTCATGCAAGTTCCAAACCGAAAACTTGTGTTACGTACGAAAGATAATAAACATGGAAACACAATCTCTTTTAAAAAAAAAATTAACAAAAAAACTAGAAAAAGAAGGACAAAATCATATAAGACAGACTCCACAAATAACAACAACCATATAAAGACTACAATCTATGAACATTCCACGAAGAGCTTGATACACAACAACTCCTCTTTCCAGAAGCTTCTCTGCATCAGACCAATTTTCTCCCTTATTACCATCTTTAGTACCCGTTCCTTCTTCTTCCATTTCATGGCTCAATCCTCCTCCAGAAGCTTCCATGGTGAGATGAGACATTACTATCGCACAATCTGTAAGCAGAAGCAACCAAAGAGGTCTCAAAGCTAAGATAGTCTCTGATCTTATGATGTTCAATCTCGGGAGTAAAACCACAAACGCAGCTATGGTGAGGGAGCTTAAAATCCGACTTCTTTCTGAGCTTATGATGCTTGCATTGACTTTCTTGGAGCTGAAGAAACTCCTAGGTCGTTGACTTTGACTCTTTACTGATCTTGCTTCCTCTGGTATTGCTGTTTCAGTTTTTAAAGGTTTGTGAAGAACAGTGGAGAGTTTTGGTTCTTCTCTTGCCTTAACTTCACCTGCATTCATCATAAGTATAAATTAGGGACAATAATCATTAATCAATTAAACTATTCAGTGCAATCAAATACAAATGATGTTTTACTAATAAAAACACTAAAATATAAAATATTTTGATTCCATAAACTATTTCTAAACATATTGAAGCAAACGTATCATGAGTCTGACATCTAAATAATATTATAATAACATGCAAACGTAACACACAAAAGAGAGATATGATAAAAGAATAAAACAAGACAGCAAATATAGTTATAAATAAGTTGTGTACCTTTGAATTGATACTTAAGAGATGGGCTTTCTTGAATGAGATGGCGATCAGATTGAGTCTGTGGCATCAAAGACTCGCTGTATGTACGTTGGTGAAAAGCAGATGATGAGGAAGAAGACGACGGCGACGAAGGATCAAAATTATGTATTTGGCCTGTGATTAGAGCTAAACGATCTGATCCTCTTTCCATGATTCTTCTTCTCCTTTCTTCTCTATCCATCACCATTTTCACTGTCAAAGAAATATGAAAGAAAACAAAATGTAGAAAACAGAGGACGAACAAAAAATGAAGTTACCAAAATTTAGAGCAAGAAAGTTGTTATTATGTTTTAGCTTTTGAAACCCTCCAAAATTAGGTTCTTCTTAAAGTAGAAAGAAAGGCTAAAGAATAGTTCTCTTAAAGTCTAAATTTAGAATGTATAAAGATGAATTCTTCCCTATGTTAAAAATAATTTTAAATTTTTAACCAAAAGGTAAATGATGAAATAAGTAATAAACGACCACAGTGGGAGTCGAACCCACGACCTTCTGATCCGAAGTCAGACGCGCTAATCCACTGCGCTATGCGGTCAACTTGTTACAGTTTGATATAACATATTATTTAACTACTCTACAAGTTTTCTTTCTGTATTCGCTAATCCATAATTAGGGTTTTCCTGGAAACCGTAGCATATTCATGAGATTTCTAGTAAAAAATTATTACAAAGCTAATCAATCGATAATTAAACATGGAATCTTTGGAATAATCCAGCAAAGAAAGTGGTAGTGAAGGCTAATTTGAGGTAAAGGGTTGAGTCTTGTGTTGGAGAGACACTCTCACTTAGCATAGAATCCATCACTAGAGATGCTATTGAGACAGGACCTACTCCGAGGTGTCTTGAACTTCCTAGAGTTGAGTATATAAGTGGTGGCACAAAGCTTGAATCTGCATGCAGTTTCAAAAGAAAAGAAGATCAAAACTTTTGAATTATATCTAATTTATTTCATTAAGTAGTGTAACTTACAAAGACCAATAATAGGTGGGCAAGTTTGCTAATTTGGCGTAGCTTATTCCCTGCCAATTTACCATCCAAATAAAAATGTAACAAAAAGGTGGATCAACTCTTCGTAAAATCAGCAAAACGAAAATTGTAGGATTTTTTTTTTTTTTTATATCAAGGAAATAAATCTTTGGATATTATGTAAATCAACCCTCTTCGAATAACAAAGTTGAGTATGATCAGATTTCCATCTAACTCGTAACCATTTTTCATTTTTCTACTGTTAATTAACAATTTGATTGTGCCCAAGAGAAAATTTATGTTTTTTTTTTCTCAATATGTTATGTTAGAATAATTACGAAGAAACTCAGAGAAAAGGAGAGATTTTTAAAATTTTGAGTAGCTTACGAGTATATGATGGAAATATATATATATATATATTGATATATATATATATATATATATATATATTGATTGCTTAACCTTAGGCGCACAGTCTTCATGAGACAGCTTTGATATATATATACTGATCGCTTAACCCTAAAACTTAGGATCTCTGGCGATTATGGATAGATACAACTTGCTCATCAAGTTTATCTACTTACCAAATCTGTTGCAACTAATATAATATATCCTAACAACTTGGTACAGCTCAGCAATCCACTTGCCACATCATCTTTTGGTCGACGTCAAATCATTGCCTCCAATGACTCCTGATACGATGTCTGATACATCCTCTGATGTACCAGGTCTCAACAACCGTTTTGATACATCCTCTGTTGTATCAACGCTCACACCAAATACTTTCTCAGAATCTGTCTTTACGTACTACCTCAGATTGTGTGTCAGTTCCATCTTTATGTCTTTTGCCTGAACTGTCACAACCTCTATATCGATGCTCTAACTATGTATCTCTCTTTCATCTGACAGTATTTGTAGCACATCCTGTTGTAGCATGTTCGCTAATCAGTCAGCAATACATCTTCAAAAAGCAGTTTTGTTTTCCTTTTCTTGATGTTTTGTTTCGTGGGGATGTTCTTACGGTTTAAAATCAAACTTATGAAAAGAAAAACTGAATTATTATCATTTATTATTAATTTTAAATTTTATTTTTCTTAATAATAATATTTATAAAACTCATTTATACAGCAACAAGATTACAAATTTTAGGAATGAAATCATGTGGAATTGAGGATTCCGTGAAATTCCATAAAATTGCTACTAGTTACAATTAAAGAAAATGAACAATCATTTTACTTATTTCATCCATTTCACAAAAGAAAAAAAAATCTTTTTGAAAAATCATTTCATTTCAATAATGTTAAAAAAATGAATGAAATTCCCATTTTCATTTCATTCCATATATTTTTATATTCCATTTTGTTATTATCATTGTACTTGTGTGTTAATCAATTTATTGCTACTAGATTTGGATTTTAACTTTCAAAGAATCTCCAATTATAGAAAACAATGGATTGGGATTTGGGAAGATAAAATGGCGTGATATTTCAAAAGTCATAAAGAGCAGAAGGATCTGAAGAATTCATAAAGGATATTTGACTCCATATTTGGTTAACAAATATCTTTGGTCTAATGCGATTTCAAATTTCAAATTTCAATAAATACCATTTTGATAATGTTGGTTTTACTAAATGAAGTGGAGTAGATAAAGTGTCAATACAATGTTATATTTTGTTGTTGATACTAGCCAAGTTAAGTATACGTAAAAAAAGCAATGAGAAAGTATTCAACTAAAATGATTTCAGTTTTGAGATTTATTTTAATAAAAAAACACCGTAATTCAAAACTGAAATCATTTTAGTTGATTTTTTTTTTTGGTCAAATCATTTTAGTTGATAATACAGTACGTTGTTGAGCTTGAATATTTCCATTTAAGAACGTTATTCACAATTCGAGCCAAGCCTCTTTACTATTTGGGTATAGGCCTTTTATAAATGGGCTCTTTTCAATTAAGTTGATTAATAAAACATAATAGGCCTTTGAGTAGCCCAATCGTAGTGGCAATTTCGTAAATGACTTACTCAGTCGTTCACTCGTTCGTAATTGTCAAGCAAATATTCCATTTTATGATTTTAATGTTTTTTTTTCTTTTAATCACACCGAGCTAACGTCGTTCGTTCTTCGATCTCCGATTTACAGATTTAAGCGATAATACGAGATCCGAAGGGCACACAGCCTTCCTAAGCTTAATCTGTAAATATGGTGAGTAGTGAAATCTCTCCTCTACTTTTTGTTGTTTCTCCGATCTCGAGTGAATCTGTCTACGATGCGATCTCGATTTCCTGTTCTTCTTCTGTGATTAAGGCGTAGTATGAGTGAGATCGTGTAATCTCAGATCGTATGTTTTGCTTCGATTTGCATAATCTGGTTTGAAGATTTCGTGTTGTGTTACTGCCGATGGCATGAAATCGAGTGTAGTCTCTTTACATTGTGGTTTGTGGAATCGAACAAATGATCACGGCCGTTGCATTTTCAGAAGATCTGGAATATTTGGGTTTGGGTGCATACGAGTCGCAAAAGTTTTACGCTCGGTGTAGTGGGTTTTAGGCTTTTAGCAGTTTTGGTTAAAGTTCCCTGTTGATTCTGGTGGAGGGATTTTGGTAAAATTTGTAGTTTTAGACTGTTTTTAATCCGCGAATGTGTAATAGAAGGAATGTGAATTTGATAAACGATCTTATTTGTTTAGTTTAGTACTGACTTGTGGTTTCTTTCTTTTCGTTGAAACAGCCTTTCAGACTCGAAATCAAGGTATTCGTTTTACTATATCTATGTTGTATTTTTGGGGTTTTCTTTTAGATCTCTCTCACTCCGGTTTTAGGCTGTGTTAATAATTTGATTTGCGTTGTTTTTGGATCAGAGAAAATTGTCTCAAAGGTCTGAGAGAGTAAAGTCTGTGGATCTGCATCCTACAGAACCATGGTAATTTCAAGCTGTGCCTTTTTTTCTCCTGCATGTTAGTTTCAACGTGTATTCTTCATATTTTATTTTCGTTGTAGTGATTGAAAGTGAATTTTTCACCACTTGGGAATTCATGAGAGTTGATGTACCTTTATTTCTGCTTCTCATGAGTGGATATTGACATAACATTGTTTTGCAGGATTCTAGCAAGTTTGTATTCTGGATACTTGAATATTTGGAACTACCAGACACAGGTGGGTGGATAATTTGAGTTTTTAACCTGTTTCCTTATGATCATACCCAAGAAACACTTTGTGAAATCGAATAACAAAGTTTATTTTCTTTGTGTATTCTATGATTCATGGAACTTCTTCTAATCTGAATACTGAATCTTGCATGATACTCCTCAGGTGATGGCCAAATCCTTCAACGTGACCAATTTACCAGGTATACAGCTTTCTATCTTTTGCGTCTTTAGTTATAATGTATTTGGTTTAGTTTTGTCTTGTTGTATGTAAGTCGTCATGTTCAATTTGTTACTGATTCTGATTTATTATATTATGACTTTGCAGTTCGGTCAGCCAAGTTTATAGCGCGAATGCAATGGGTCGTGGCAGGAGCCGATGATATGGATATTCGTGTATACAATTACAATACCATGGACAAGGTTAAAGTGTTTGAGGCTCATTCAGACTACATTAGATGTGTGGCTGTTCATCCAACCCTTCCATATGTGCTGTCATCTTCTGATGATATGCTCATAAAGCTTTGGGACTGGGAAAAAGGTTGGGCTTGCACTCAGATATTCGAGGGACATTCGCACTATGTGATGCAAGTCACATTTAACCCAAAAGACACCAACACTTTTGCCAGTGCATCACTTGATCGTACCGTAAAGGTGCTGAAATGGTTTATGCTTGTAATTTGACTATGGCTTAGTAGTCCGCATAAGGTTCTTGAAAGTGTTAGCTCATTCTATGTTTACATGCTTCTTCATCTTCAGATTTGGAATCTTGGTTCTCCAGACCCAAATTTTACATTGGATGCCCATCAGAAAGGAGTAAATTGTGTAGATTATTTCACTGGTGGTGATAAACCCTACCTAATTACCGGCTCTGATGATCACACTGCTAAGGTCTGCATCCTGGTCACTGCTCTGTTAGATGATACATTTCTACTGGGCACTATCTGCTTTCAGGTTATTTACTAGTTGAATTTCGGGAATCAGGTCTGGGACTATCAAACAAAAAGTTGTGTCCAGACCCTTGACGGGCACACACACAATGTATCTGCAGTATGTTTCCATCCAGAGCTTCCAATTATAATCACAGGTTCTGAAGATGGCACCGTTCGCATTTGGCATGCAACTACGTACAGGTATATTATAATATGAACAGATTTTTGTTGTTGGACACATTGATAATTTAATGCTTCTTGTATGCCTACCTAAACCATTTTCAGTTGGATGTATTCTTGTGTAACTTTCCACCATTACCAATTTCTTTTATTGCCTTTCCGTTTTTCATCCAACTTTCCTAATGTCTCTTTTTCCTTACAGGCTAGAGAACACATTAAATTATGCCCTGGAGAGAGTTTGGTCCATTGGTTACATTAAAAGTTCGCGCCGGTGAGTTTTTTGATTTTTGCCCCCTCCTTTTATCAATACCTCGATGCTTGTCAGAACTGTTTTCCGGTTGATAGTATACAGCATTCATCGAATCTTTGATTCTGGCTTCCAATTTTTAGCACCATTGTGGTTGTTTTTGTCCTCCTTAACTTTGACGACTTGCAAAGATTAGGATTTTTATTAAGAGCTCCACTTCTTTTTATACTCCATTGAATTTTCCTGCGAGACCATAAATCTTGTTGTTTTCACTTAACAGGGTTGTTATCGGATATGATGAAGGAACCATTATGATTAAACTTGGACGAGAAATTCCTGTCGCCAGCATGGACAATACTGGAAAAATCATATGGGCTAAGCATAACGAAATTCAAACTGCGAACATCAAAAGTGTTGGTGCAGATTATGAGGTATACGACGTTCTTGTAACTCATATACCGTGGCTAGGATGGCTGATTTGTTTATTTGTTTGCCTGATGGTATTAAGCTTCTCTTCTCTACCTTAGGTTACTGATGGAGAGAGGCTGCCCTTGGCTGTTAAGGAGTTGGGGACCTGTGATCTCTATCCACAAGTGAGTGTTACTATACAGCACTTGATCCAATGATTGTGTGATGTTTTGGCTTATTATATAATTTATTTGGGCAAAAGATTTTCCGCATAGCTGGTTTGATTGGCACGTGCCTCAGAGTTGTGGGTATCGTTAAGCTGTGTCATCTTCAGAATATATATCTGTTTTTGGCTTATCTGTGTCTCATATGTTTGTACTCTGACTCTCAGAGCTTGAAGCACAATCCTAATGGGAGATTTGTCGTAGTCTGTGGTGACGGGGAGTATATAATCTATACGGCTTTGGCTTGGAGAAATAGGTCATTTGGTTCTGGATTGGAATTCGTTTGGTCGTCCGAGGGGGAGTGCGCGGTTAGAGAAAGCTCATCAAAGATTAAGACATTTAGCAAAAATTTCCAGGTTCGTTATTCTTCTTCTGTCTATTCTAAAACATTTTGTTAGATAATGTTTCTATGGTTGTTGGAAGTATGGTTGATACTTGTCATGAATATATTTATTTTGGATCTGGCTCATTCGCAAACGACACTTTCAGGAAAAGAAGAGTATTCGCCCTACTTTCTCAGCTGAGAAGATCTTTGGAGGAACCTTGTTAGCCATGTGTTCAAATGATTTCATCTGCTTTTATGATTGGGCTGAATGTAGGCTGATTCAACGTATTGACGTCACTGTAAAGGTATCCTAGTTAATTTCCTCAGTTTGTTGTTAGAAGTCCACTTCGAGACATATTTGTGGAAGCTAATGTCATTACCTTTATTTGGTGGTTGTCCTCGTTTGTTTCTTTTCTAATTCTCAGTGCTGCAACATAACATTTTGCAGAATCTTTATTGGGCTGACAGTGGTGATTTAGTAGCCATTGCTAGTGATACGTCATTCTACATCTTGAAATACAACGTGAGGATCCTGTCCAACGAACACTCTTAATCTGTGAATTTCTATATGCTATTCTTGGACTGTCCAAGTGCTTACTATTGTGTTCCTGTTTTACAGCGGGACTTGGTTTCCTCACATTTTGATAGTGGAAAATCTACTGAGGAAGAAGGTGTGGAGGATGCTTTTGAGGTTCTCCATGAGCATGATGAACGTGTTAGGACAGGCATATGGGTTGGTGACTGTTTCATTTACAACAACTCTTCCTGGAAGCTTAACTATTGTGTCGGAGGCGAGGTATTGTGCATATCTCTTGGTTACTTTAATTTGACTGTGGTTATGAACACATTTTGATGATAGTTGCTCACATCTTAATACTAGGTAAACACAATGTATCATTTGGACCGCCCGATGTATTTGTTGGGCTATCTTGCAAGTCAAAGTCGGGTATTCTTGGTAGACAAAGAATTCAAGTAAGTACCTAGATTTGGTGTGTTTATTTCAGATTGGTTGAAAAGCTTCTGATGGCTGTTCTCATGTTTATTTTGGGGATGCAGTGTTATTGGATACACCTTGCTGATAAGCCTGATTGAGTACAAGACTCTTGTGATGCGAGGTGATCTAGATAAAGCCAGTGAAATCTTACCTACAATTCCTAAAGATCAGCATAACAGGTAATTGTTATCAATTATTATCAACTTCTATGTGTATATGGCACTTTATCTCTTGTTGCGTGATGTCTTTGGTAGTGTTATAGTCTAACTAAACCCATGCTTATTTGCTTTAGAAGAATATTATGATTATTTTTTTTCTCAGAAATACTGTATGTCGTGCTAGATCTACTTAGTCTAATGTAAATGTTTAAATTAACTTGGCTGCATTCCTATCAATGGTGTTTTCTGGATATTTCTCTTTATTGAATTAGTAAAATTTTCCACATGTTAGTGTTGCCCATTTCTTGGAGTCACGAGGAATGATTGACGAGGCTCTGGAAATTGCGACAGATCCTGACTACAAATTTGAGTTGGCCATACAACTGGGTAGACTTGAAATTGCGCAGGTAATATAATGTGTGATGATTAAGATGATTGTTTACTTCTTTTGTTGTGGCAATATATAACGTGTTTTTGATTATATGCTTGTAGGAAATCGCTGTAGAAGTACAGAGCGAGTCTAAGTGGAAGCTATTAGGAGAGTTAGCCATGTCCTCGGGGAAGGTACATATTGTTCTCTTGGCGTTTCTTCCTAATGTTGATAAAAAGCCCTTCGAGTAAATGATTTACATTATGATTCTGAGGTTTTATTCAGAATTGTGGTAGCGGAGAGAAATATGATCTTAGAGCAATATATCTGTTTATCATCTACTGGTTTCGTCTATGATGTGCGTATCCGCAGCTAACTCTTTGCGTTTGGATGTCATCATGACAGCTGCAAATGGCAGAGGAATGCATGAAGTATGCGATGGATTTGAGTGGTTTGTTACTGCTTTATTCTTCTCTGGGAGATGCTGAAGGTGTGTCAAAACTTGCAACACTTGCTAAAGAACAAGGGAAGAACAATGTCGCCTTTCTTTGCCTATTCATGCTGGGTAAATTGGAAGAATCTTTGGACTTGTTGGTGGAGAGGTATATCATTAGTAATCACTTGGGAGTTTGGAAAATCAAATTCATGCACCTATTATTTATCCGTGTGACAATATTTTCTTTCTCCAGCAACCGGATACCAGAAGCTGCTCTGATGGCAAGATCATATCTTCCAAGCAAAGTACCTGAGATAGTAGCACTTTGGAGGAAAGATCTCAGCAAGGTTATTTTTGTTAAGTCTTTACTTTTAGTGTATTCAAGGAGAAAAAAAAGAGTTGTGGTTATAAGTTGCCTCTCACTTGTCTACAGGTTAATTCAAAAGCAGCAGAATCTTTGGCTGATCCTGAGGAGTACCCAAATCTTTTTGAAGATTGGCAAGTTGGTCTTTCCATCGAAGCAAAAGCTTTAGAAACAAGGTAAACAAGCAAGTGTGTATCATTACTAGTACCTATTTCAGCAATGATGCTTAGACCTCTCTTATATCCGGGTTTTTTCTTAATTTACAGGGGAGTTTATACAGGTGCAGACAATTATCCTAGCCATGCTGATAAATCTTACATGACCCTTGTGGAAGCCTTTAGAAACTTGCAAGTTGAGGACGAGGAATCACTTGAAAATGGAGACATGGATCACGAGGTGACACTTATTGTCTTTTCCAAATCAAGTGACTCATTCATATGTTGTTAGTGATCCTGTCGTAATTTGGTAAGCAGCAACTGATTTTTTGTTTTCCTCCTCTTCTACTTCTCAGGAGGTTGAAGCAGAAGCAAATGGAGAAGAAGAAGAAGAAAAGATTGACGATGAGGTTGTAGAGGAACATCATGGAGAAGGAGAAGAAGGAATCGTTGATGGTGACTCAACGGATGGAGCAGTGCTTGTAAACGGAAGCGAGGCTGAAGAAGAGTGGGGTACGAATAACGAAGGAAACCCATCAGCCTAGTAGCAAGTCGGTCAAGGCCAATGTTGAAAAAGTCTGAAAATTTTGTCTCTGGTGATTAATTTGATTCCCCGAAACGACGCCTTCCAACATCTTTTTTTCCCTTGTTTGTGTGTGTGTTGAGTCTGGTCTGAAATCATCGCACTTCATAGCAACCTTTAGGAACGTAATACCAAACTTTTTTTCTGCGACCTGGCTTAGGTTTTAAAAACCAGAGTATCTGCATCATCTCGGCTTTAAACAGTTGCTTGATGCTGATTCAACTTATTGATGTTTTTCTTTCTTTGTTTTTGTTTGTTTGCAGTGCTTACACCACGTCAGTAGTAGAGTTTACAGTTTGATGGGAATGGCCAAAGTTGAAGCAACAATGGAGAGTGGTGATATAACTTTCTTTCAGAGGATTCCAGCAGATTTGTAATAAAAGTTTTTTATTTGAATATTTTAAGAAAAGTTTTTTGAGGATTTAGATGACAAGAGAGGCTAAATGTTAGTGTTCCTTATTGTGTCTTTTGCACTCAGAGGGAGATTCTTATTATCATTATTCATATGGTTTTGTTTTCTTTCTTTATCCTAAATAACTACTTTAGATTTCATCTGATTGTTTTTTTTTTTAATTATCTGGCCTGTAAAATGATTTGTTTTTCTTTTATTATTGCATATATATATAATTGGTTCTCAATATAATATTTCTTTCGAAACCTTTTTTTAATTTTCGCCCATCAGTTTGTCTGCTTTTTCAATCTTTTTTAGATTATAATGAGTTCTTTCATGTTTTCTATCAACACTTGGAAGAAAAATCCGTTGAATTTATTATATGGTTCGTTAAAACAAAAATCCATTTTTTCAAGCAGAAACTATAATCTTTTAAATGTAATTAACAGTAATCGAAGGACTTTTAGAAAAAAAAAGGGAATACAGTACTATGTACCCACATATGTCGATATAATAAAAAAAAATTTGAGATACATATTTCGATGTTCTTCTGCTATTTACTTCTTCAGCTTCCTCTTCGTCTCTGACCACTTCGCTCCGGCGTTAGGTTTTTCTTCTTTCTGCTACTGCTCCTTCTCCGGTATGTCCTTCCCATTTTCTCTTCCCCTGTCAATTTGTTGGAATCTGTTGTTCTCGTCATTGCTTGTTTCTCGGAAATTGTCTCTTTCTGGGCTGGCTGCTCTGATTCTAGGGTTTTGACATCCTTTTGGTTCTTCAGTTTTCTCTGGAATTAGATTCCGACTATTTCTTCAATTTTTCTGATTATCTGGTGTTTTAAGATTTCTTCTTCCGTTCCTTATGGCCGTTTGCTGCTCGTGTTGGGTTCTAATTTCAAAATCTCTTCTTCAATATCGAATAATGTGTGGTCTTCCTTGGGTTTACGTGGTTGATATATAGTATGAAATTGTTGAAACTAGCATGAATTTGAGTGTAACCCCTTGAATTTGATGTTTCTTAAATCGAAACTGGGTTTGCGTTTGGGTTCGATGTTTCTGGTCATTTTTTTATTTTGTTCTTACTCTTCAGTGTATCGACTCCTCTTATGCAACTCCACTATATATTGAGAACAAGAGATTCACAGTTACTGATTTTTTTCTTTTCTTTGGTTGTCGATTTATTATTAGTCTCCTTTACGAATTTCTCTAGTTACATCTAAACTTAGATGTCTTCTTTGCATGCATTTCAAGGCCTTCTGGATACCTGCATTAGGTTTCCAGGTTTCTTCCTTCTGCTTCTTTATCTTGTAGTTTTCAGTTTCCATTTCATCTTCATGTTTCAGCTTTTGTGTTCTTAACTTTGTCATTATTAATGGTCTGTGACTGCTTAGTGCTAAGTAATTGGGCGTGTTTGAGTATGTCTTATGTGGTTTTAGCTTCCGAATGATGTTTTGGATTCTATATATTTCCCCTCTGTATGCAAAAGATTGGATTTTGTTTGTCTGTCTGTCTCTTAGTATCTCTGAATAATATTGAATACTTCATGGAAATTTTGGGTTGCACGTCTTTTTTTTGGTAGGTGTCTGTTGATATTCACTCAGAACATTTCTAATGGGGGACTCGGAAACCGCGCAGCAAACTTCGAAAAAGAGAGGTGCTTCGAAGCAGATTTCTCGTGAGAATCCAGGTCTTGATGATGATGATGAATCAGCCGGACTTGAGACTGGAACTTTCAAGAAGGCCAGTGATGAGGTATTGGCGAGTAGAAGAATCGTGAGGGTCAAGCGCAAAGAGCCATCAGCTCCACCAGCCGCAGCATCCAATCCATTTGCTGGGATTCAGTTGGTCCCTGCTGCAACTGCACCTGCTGCTTCGACAACTTTTGGAACAAGTGCTCCTGTAGCTGAGTCTATGTTGGCTCCAGCGGAAGCGGTTGTTGAGGATGATCAAAAGGCAATTAATACTGGAGAGGAAGACGATGAAGTTGACAGTAAGAAGGTGAATGCCAAAGATTCTGCTGGTGAAGAGAATCAATGTGGTGAGAAGACGTCTGATAACCAAGTTACTGATGCTGCTGTAGACCAGACGGTTTCGGCTGTCGAAGGAACAGACCAGACTGAGACTGAGGCTCCTCTTGAGAAGGATTCAGGAGGTGATCAAACTGAGGGAAAAGAGAAAGAAGGCGACGAAAGAAAAGAAGGAGAAAAAAATGGTGATGATAATGGAGCTTTGAGTTCGTTCCAACAGCATTCAAGTAGCAAAAACGCATTCACGGGACTCGCCAGTACAGAGGCTTCTGGCTCTTCATTCTCATTCGGTTTGGTTTCACAGGATGGTTCAACTGGTTCTGGATCTCTCTTTGGGTTTGGCCTTCAGAACAGCAATAACTCTTCCCTCTTCGGTGCAACTGGATCTTCCATCATCAAGAAGAGCGAAGGCAGTGCGTTTCCACCAAAGGAAGAGGTTTCCACAAAGACAGGAGAAGAGAACGAGAAAGTTGCCTTCTCTGCTGATTCGATCATGTTTGAATACCTTGATGGAGGATGGAAAGAGCGTGGTAAAGGAGAACTCAAGGTAAACGTCTCCAGTAATGGTGGTAAAGCAAGGTTAGTTATGAGAGCTAAAGGAAACTACAGGCTGATCTTGAACGCGAGCCTCTACCCAGAAATGAAACTTGCAAGCATGGACAAAAAGGGAATCAGTTTCTCTTGTGTGAATAGTGTAGGCGAAGGCAAAGAAGGTCTCTCTACGTTTGCACTCAAGTTCAAAGACCCAACGATCGTGGAAGAGTTTCGGGTAGCCATTGACAAGCATAAAGACAGCAAACAGATTGAAGAAGCAGCTCTTCCTCTGAAGACACCTGAGAACTCTCCAACAGCGACAGATGCTTGAAGAGAAAGGTAAAAGAAAACAAAAAAAAGGAGCATGTAGAAACACTTCTCTTTGTCTTTGTGTCTTGTTTCGTTCGTTAGTAGTTGAATTTTGAGGCAGAGGAAAATAGAGATTTGAAGAAGTTTGTTGTTTTTTTATTTCTACAGTTCTTGAGACTTTGTGGTTACCATGAGACTTAAATCTGCTTCTTAATCTATTTTATATTAGCTATTTGAATGAGATTGTTCTGGAATTGTGGATCAGTCTTGTGGATGGGTGTTTGATCTGGTTTATGGCTGGTTCTATAAAGAATCGGTTTTACAACTACAGTAGATCGGACCAGTCTAGTCCATTGTGCCCAAATCAGTGAGAGATAATATGGGCCTTAAACATTCATATGTCGTAATAATATCAGTGGGCCTGAGCAGTGAGCTATTCTCTAGGTTTTCTAAGAGCTTAAATTTAGTATAAAATATATAAATATTTTATTTTAGTATATACTAGATGAGTATCCGTGTGATGTGCGGATTTTTGTTTCAAAATATAATTTATTAAAACGTTTAAATATAATTTATTTTATTGTATACTTCTTTTTTATGAACAATGATAATATTTTTTAACTTTGATTTCTAGTCATCCTATTATTTTAACCTCATGATATAACATGTTTTGACTATATTTTACAAATATGTTATAATTAAAAAAATATATTATTACATATTTTGACTATAATAGAATAATGCTATTTCTTCTTCCAAATTTGGAACTATCTCATTCTCAATTCTATTATCTTTTATATTATAGATTTAGCTCCAACTCTATTCTATTTTTGATTCTAAAATAGAATAATGCTATTTCTTCTTCCAAATTTGGAACTATCTCATTCTCAATTCTATTATAGAATTGAACTTTTTTATTTATAAATTAATCCTTCATGTTTTAAATATTTGTACTTTAAAACTAATAAATTGTTTTTTATTAATTAATTATAGATATTAAAACACTAAAATTAAAACGAAAATAATTAAAATTAAAGTTTGTTTTATCATTTTGTTATAGTGTAATGTGTTTTTTGTATTAAAATAATTAAATTTAAAGTTTGGTATAATTTATAAAAGTTTTAAGAAAAATTATTGAATCAATTTGTAAATTTTGAAAAAACTATGGATCAATTAGCAATTAATAATAAAACATAAAAAAAAATAGAATAGGAAATAGAATCATACATTGGAGAGAAATGCAATTCTATTTTATAATTGTTCTATTTTGAAATTTAAAATAAAATTATACATTGGAGATGCTCTGATAGCCGGTAGGCGTGGAAAAACTTTGATAATTGGGGATTTTTATAAATTTATCAGATGATTACAAACCATATTTTGTCGTAACTTTGTATTAGATAGACAATATTTATGCATCCACAAAATGTTCCATTATTCGTAACTAACAAAATACACATAAATATATTGGCCCAACATGTCAACACAAGTTACACAACGACATTACTGGTCCTCCTTCCATTCCAATACATGATGTTTCATTTTGGTTCTATTATATAACTTCGTTTGGTAAGTCTCAGAAGAAGAAAATGAACAATACACAAAATGAAAAGAGATTTTGATGTTTTTTTTTTCTTTCATCAGATTTTCAGATGTTTTGCATGCCAAATATTGCATTCAATTCAAATTTTGTCATTCTACGCTCAAATTATTACAAAGAGAAATGAAAAGATTTATAGACATATTATTGAAAGAAAAAACAATGTGACTAAGGTTATGTATATAATATATACAGTATAAGATAAATTTTAATGCATAGTAAATAAAATTACCAATAAATGTTGATCTAGTAACAGCAGTGTCGAATATTGGTGATAAGTATCAACGTGGATCTATGTCAAAATAAAATATCACTATCTATGGACTCGAAGAGGTGGCCTCTCCTGACATTTTAACGCGGTAACAAAATTTAAAAACAAATATCTACTAGCTATATTTAATGATCCTCATCACTTTTTAACTGTACTAATAACTCTTGTATGATAAAAAAAAACTTCTTGGTCTAGCAAACATATGGTAGATAATTATTTGATGTTTTGGAACTGGCCAGTGAGTATCTGATACTATCTTGGATCCGAATAAGAAAACATTTTTGTAAAAAACTTGAGCATTGGTAAGTCTTTGCAGAGAAATACTTATTCTTTTTCTCCCGGATGCAGACATATATATGTATGTAAAAGGGCAAACATTTTATATACATAAAGAAAAGGTAATTCCCTCATGTAAGAGAGTTATTGTAACTTTGGCTATGTTACAAATACATTCAATTTAGAACATATTTTTTTGACAAAGACAACAAACACTCTCGCATTTGTTCAACCAAATTTTATGTTACATTAAATATGAAAAAATAGTGAAACAACTAGATTGCCCTTGTACCTAAAAAGAGAGTAGAGTTTTTGTTTGGGCACGTTTTTTTCCCACTCTTCTCCTGTGGTGGTTAACACTAAGTAACGAACAGACAGTTTTGTCACATTTTCCTTATTTCGCAACGGTCTTTACCAGTTTCTCTCGGACAAAATCCCAAAAAACATTATCATCAGTATTATATTTTTCTCTTCAGTTTTATATTCATTTTCTTTAAAGTGCTTCTCTATTATTAAAAAAACAATGCTTATAGTTCGTATAATATATATATATATATATAGACTGTGATATAATACGATTTCAAATTTCATTATTCTGATCCCAGCTTTATTTTTGATTAAGAATGGAAAACCAATTTATGTTTCTGGCCCGGTAGAAAAGCCAACACGTATCTATAATGCTCTTTTTTTTTTTTTTGAAAATTAATTTTATATAGATTTTGGATTTTATATAAAACTTTCAGGTTTTTTTTTAATCTACAAAAAGCTAGTACAGGCTAGGCTACAGCAAGAAATTTCTAGAAATCAAGCGTATGAATCCGACGTGAAAAAATGAATATTAAATCAGAAAGTAGTGTAAACAATTAAGCAAGTAACAATACGTTAAAGTATTGGGTGGCGCTTGTAAATAATAATATAATGGTTCCTATTTGGTTTCGGACACTTGTAAAGAATCACGTGTTTAGTTTCATTTAATCTGTCCTAACTTAATACAATATCAAAACACACTTGTGGTGATGATACTGGAAAGTGAAAACACATTTTACACACTCACAATAAATTACCACAATACTGACACAACTCTGTATTACTGTATATAACCACTTTTAATACACACAAAAAATCTGTATATAACCATAAGCTCTCCTTCACTTCATCTTCAACAATTTTCTCCACCAATATCTATCTATAGCTTTAGAGAAAGCGAGAAACACAAAATGGTGAGCTTCGAGAGGGTTCCTTTACTGTTAGGGTTAGTTCTGGTTCTAACTCTGGTCGGAGCTCCGACCAAAGCCCAAGGACCTGTTTGCCGTCAAGCTGAGACATTTAGCCGAGCTAGCTTCCCTGAAGGATTTCTTTGGGGAACAGCTACTGCAGCGTTTCAGGTCCATCTTCTACATATATTTTTTTTTCAGAAAATATATGTTTGTATGTTCGTTTCATGATTATTCAAACTTTTGTTATTTTCATGCTGTAATAGGTTGAAGGAGCTGTTGATGAAGGTTGCAGAGGTCCAAGCATGTGGGACACTTTCACTAAGAAATACCCACGTATGTACATTTTTTTCCCTTTATCTATAAATATATATATGTTTATACTGTACACATATTGTATTTAAAATAATGTTTAAAAAACAAATTACAGATAGATGCCAAAATCATAACGCTGATGTTGCTGTTGATTTCTACCATCGTTACAAGGTAATTAAATTCATACCTTCTTGTGATATATATAATTCTTTTGATTACTAATTAATCTTTGTTTAAATGAATAATATTAACAGGAAGATATCAAGTTGATGAAAGACCTCAACACTGATGCTTTTAGACTTTCTATCGCGTGGCCCAGAATCTTCCCCCGTAAGTTTTTTTTATTTTATTTTAAGTGTTAATCAATATGCATGTTAGTGGTTATTGTTATTAACAGTTAGAAAAAAATATATGAAAATAACAGATGGAAGAATGTCTAAGGGAATAAGCAAACAAGGAGTCCAATTCTACCACGACCTCATCGATGAGCTTCTCAAAAACAGTAATTTTTTCACCTCCAATACAAATTTTTTTAATTTAAATAACGTCATATCAATTATTAGTAATATTAACAATTATTTTCTGTTATTTGGGAAATATAGACATAACTCCACTAGTAACAGTCTTTCACTGGGATACTCCTCAAGACTTAGAAGATGAATACGGTGGTTTCCTCAGTGGTCTCATTGTGTAAGTTTTTGTTTCCATGCATATCAATATATATTTTTTTGGGGTAAATAGTTATACTATAACTTAATATTATTATATTGTATATACAGGAAGGATTTTACGGAATATGCAAACTTTACTTTCCACGAATACGGACACAAAGTGAAGAACTGGATCACATTCAATGAGCCATGGGTGTTTAGTCGTGCCGGTTACGACGTCGGTAAAAAGGCTCCGGGACGTTGTTCACCGTACATCGAAGAATGGGGAAAGCACTGTGAAGATGGACGGTCAGGATTCGAAGCTTACCAAGTCAGTCACAATTTACTCTTGGCTCATGCTTATTCCGTTCAAGCCTTCAGACAATGCAAACAGGTTCATCTTTAACTCCCATTCGTATATTTTTGTCCTTTTAAAATTCATTTGTGTAAATAATAATAATTTTAGAGTTTTTTTTTATTTTGGTGGTCAAAAATTTATAGTGTGCTGGGGGTAAAATTGGAATTGCCCACAGTCCAGCTTGGTTCGAACCAGCCGACCTTGAGACTGTTGGAGCTCCCATTGAACGTGTTCTTGATTTCATCCTGGGATGGTAATTTTTTTTATTTTTATTTTTACATTAATTAAAAATGTATTGATTTTCTGATATTTACTCACAAAAAATAATAATATTAATCAGGCATTTGCATCCAACAACATTCGGAGATTATCCACAGTCGATGAAGGATCGCATTGGTCATAGATTACCAAAATTCACAGAAGCTGAAAAGAGAATTTTAAAGGATTCTGCAGATTTTGTAGGAATGAATTATTACACTTCAATGTTTGGAGCTCATATGGACGAAGCAGGTTCTAGTAAGAACCCTAGTTGGACGACAGATTCTCTTGTTAAATGGGAAAGTAAGTATTCGAATTTCTAAACTAATTATCAATTAATTATCTTTGTTGTTCGATCGATTTTTTTTTATTTATTAACGCACGTTTACTCTTAATTCACCAGGCAAGACTGTGGATGAATACAAAATTGGTAGCCTGGTAATTAAATCTTTTTATTACTGTAGTATTTTTCTCATATTACCTTAAAAATTCTGATATAGTTTTCTAATAATATATATTATTAATTAATAGCCTGCTGGTGGTAAACTGGCTGTGTACTCAAGAGGAATGAGAAAGCTTTTGAAGTATATCAAGGACAATTATAAAGACCCGGAAATTATGATCACCGAGAATGGTTAGAGAAAATGCGTTTCAACTTTATTTTATCTGAACATGTTAAATTTTGAATTTATTTTATTTATTTTTTCTTAAAGGATATGGAGAGGACCTTGGAGACCTTCACAATGACGTGAAGACTGGGACAAATGACCACAACAGGAAATATTATCTCCAAAGGCATCTCTTGAGTTTGCATGAAGCTATTTGGTAAGTACAAATTCAAATCAAACCGAAACATTATATTGAATGAATAATTTTCTTGATATGCATGGTTTTTGTTTTGTTTGTAGCGACGACAAAGTGAACGTTACGGGATACTACGTGTGGTCTTTGATGGACAACTTTGAGTGGCAAGATGGTTACAAGGCGAGGTTCGGGCTTTACTATATCGATTTCCTCAACAACTTGACTCGTCACCAGAAAGTTTCGGGCAAGTGGTATGCTGATTTCCTTAAGCCAGGATTTCCAACTTCCAAGCTATTGAGGGAAGAACTCTAAGATCAAGAATCCAAATCTTGAATCCTACGAAAAAAAAATAGTTTATTGCAAGAGTCTTGTTCTTGATGAGGATTAGTATCAGTTTGTGTGTTCTACGTACGGATCATGTTTACCGTTTTTATCTATGGTTTCTTCCGATGTGTAAGCTGTTTAAGTTTTAATCGTAATAATAATCGTTGTTTACAACAACAAAGTAATGACATGGTGTTGTCTTTTTTGTTGAAAACGACATTTCAAATCTGCAGGAGTGTTTGAACGAAAAGAATAGATAAGATTTAGAACCACCAAATATCAATATTTAATTCTCTCCCTGATAATATTTTTTCCTTTTCTCAAGAATTATTGAAAGCATATTATTTACCTTATAATATTGAATTGGCAGAAAAGTACATTATCTTATTTCCTTTGAAAAATAGTTTTACCGGGAGTGGATATTTTTGTAATTAAATATCCACTCGCAATATGTACTAACACTAGATGTTTTGTTAGTCCAAAACAAAATTAGTCCTATTGTCTGATTATTTCTATAAAATCTAATTTAAACTACTATAGCAATGGGTCTCAATCAAATTTTTTTTTTTAGACCAAAACAAAATTCTATTTTTTTTTTTTTTATGTCTGCTATCACACAATCAATAGGCCATACTACTGCGTTGCTACCAACTACATTAATTTTCGCTGAGGTTCATTTAATAAATTTTAAAGGTACCATGCTATTTTTTGTTGTTGTCAACTAAATGTCTTATTTATTTGGGTATTAAATACTTCATAGTTCATATGGACGTGTATTTTGGTTTTTGGTTAAAGTGCTAAAATACTATTCTCTCTGTTCCTAAAAGTTTGATGTTTTGAGATTTATTTTTATTTCTAAAGTATTGATTTTTTACATTATATTTAATATATTTCTTTTTCCAAGACAATTTTTTGGATAAAAAATATAAAAAATTAGTATTAAATTAATAAATAAATAAAAAATACTTAAAAAAATTAAATAATCATTGTTTTCTTAATATATGTGAAACATCTAAAACATCATACATTTTGGAATGGAGGGAATATTTTCTTACTAAAATTTATAATTGTTGGTTAACAACAGTTTTTTTTATTCAGGATTACATATGTATTTTGGTCTTCTGAATGTGGATCTACTTCTAAGTTGTAAACTCTTGAGTATAGAAAATACCTGCACCAAGTTAATTACCTAAACTTGCTATGTAACTTCTTTTTATAAAAAACACGAATGCTTTTAATATAATACAAAAAATAATATAAGGAAAAAAAATCTAGTTTTATAGAATCAGAAACCAAAAACACTATAAATGCCTGATATATATATTAAGTTCTATTTAAAAGAAAAGAAAAATCAAGAGTTAACACAAAAGTACCATTCAAAGCTAAAAGCTTTAAGGAACTTTCAAGTTATATGTAGAACTTCTGAATTCATAATTAACATTGTATAAAAGCTTCTTTTCTTCTTTTTGCTGATCGCTGTTCACAAAATAAAGCAATCGCTTAAAAAGGTATATTTTCTAATTTAACCATCAGATATCTATTATTTTTCCAACTTTGCTGTTTGTGACTTTTCTTTTAGGACTAGTGGAGAACTCAATTATTAAGTTTTTTTGGTCAATCTGAATCATAGTGGACCATTATGTTTTACAATGTGATTGTGCTTCTTTTTTTGTCATCTAAGTGAAAAGGGTAAACGAAATAGAGTTGTAGCAAAGGCCATAGAACGAGGACCTTATTAGAATCGAGAAAGACGAATGCACAAATAAATCGATAATCAAAACTATGATAAATGACACGTGGGTTTCATCAACATTAATTCTAGCCGTAAAATTTGTTTATTAGTTAAAACACTTTTAAGAATCCACGTGTTTTAACAATAATTGGAAAATTTTGTGTTATCAGTAACAATTATATAATTGAAGTGATGAATATTCACGTGTTGTCTCAAGCAAGTACTAGTAAAATATATTGTAGTAGTACACTAGTACATACACACACATATGTATTAGTATTACGTTCACATGTTCCACGTTCAAATGATCTATCAGTTAATTGTCCGCTCTTGAATGCGAGGGTACACAGTACGTATAACCTCTGCATGCATTTAATATTAAGTTACATCAAATATAAAGACACGATTAGATTCAAGCTACTGTTTTTGAAGTTTGCTTGTTGGTATAAACTATTCACTTATTAATAGCAGAAAAACAAGTTCAAAAGCGATGCCCCCAAGGTGGTGGACTAGTGGTAGGGCGGGCTTGGTAAAATGGTGAAACTCTCCCACCCGAGTTCGATCTTCCTTCCTTGCTGTTATCAATACTTTGTTGGGAAGTCTGTCAGTTAGGTCTTGGCCCAATTGGTTTACCTGATAGTCAGAAATACAAGCGGCTTGACTATCCCTGGTATAATAGTCGGATGGCACTTTAACTAATTATAAATAGTACGGTAGCTCTTTGGATCTCATGGATCTCATGGCTCATTGACTCAGCTCATAATGTTCGTTGAACCGTTGAACCATAGACAATCAGTCCGCTGTGTAGCACTTCGGTGTGTTCCATACCGGGGCTAGCCGAATAACCGATATGGTATATAAAAAAAAAAGTTCAAAAGCGATTGAAAGAGAATAGATTTGTTGTTCTTCTTCTTTTGACACTGAAATATATACTAGCTACTTAGGATAGGGTTTATTTGCCAAATATTAAAAAATAAATGTAGTGATAAAATCGTATATAATTAGTGTATTTCTTTTACGTACGTGTGATTTATATATATGGCGATGTTATAGTAAGATGATATTTGTTACAAACCTGCGAAATTTAAATTATTAAAAAACACACACACAAGTTAAGTAAACTAATGCATCTCGAGAAAACTGATTACCTAGTGCATATGAAATCTCTAATTTCAGCTTTGGGATATCAGTAATCACTAGTCAGATACAAAGTGCTTATATAGTTTTTTCTTCTTCTAAAAAGACTTTTTAAGTTTTCTTCTTTCTTTTTGTTTCTACAAATTAAACAGACAGTGATGATAACCCTAGCACCCACCACAAAAGCTATGGATGATGATTTTGTCAATATTATATGTATGGTCCATATGGATTATGATTTTCTAATATATACATATGACGTGTCTAGACACAACTAACGCGACGATCATAATTTAGAACGTCCACACTATTATCAAGATTAAAAAAAAAATTAGAAAATATACTTAGACAGCAACATTCTCTAGTTAGGTATTTGCAAAATTCTACTACACCTTAAAAAATAACATGGATTTCACATGGGTTTTGAATAGAAGAGTCTCATACCAGTAATATTGTGACATCCGATCCCGGTCAATAAAACTGAACCGGCAATGTCAAGATAACCGTCTGCGCCATAAGCCAAACGTATTATCCACTTTACAAGTCCTAGAAACTGAAGGCGCCTTGCTTAACAAACAACTCCACATCCATATGCAATACTGAGCATCCTGACTCACCTAACCTGCTAGAAGGGATCGAGAGAGAGAAGATAGGGGACTGGAGGGGTGAGTAATTTAGATTACCCAGGAGAATGAACCTACACTATCCTATCAATGCACCACAACTTAACAACGCTAAGTTCAAGCCTAAAACATCACCATAGAAAGTCCTAAAGACTTCACACAATATCCTAGCGTCACAGGTAACGCCACTGCGAATACCTGGACCACACAATGATGACTTACACCGTGGCACTTGGATTGCATCCTCCGTAAATTTATAGTCGCTACACGACTAGCCCGTCGGCAATGCCTTGAGAGCGCTACGTATAGCCATTACTCCCATACCACATGAGTATACGCTGAACCCTTTTGAACAGCCCCATGTGATGTCAGGTCCCTCAGTACCCCCTCGCATATTGCCCACGTGGCTCAGCGACTATCCTCAACTTCAGTGTATCGATTGCAGCCCCAGGCATTGCAAATCTCAACTATCCATCTCGGACCCCAAACAATAGTCCTCCACTCAAGTATATCGACCACGGCTCCTTTGCCTTATGATCTCAACTCTCATCTCAGACATTTCACAACACATAGTCTCAATTATGATTTCACGCAATACCATATTAAGTTTCTATCCTCTTTACAAGTTCTAGGCGATCACACAATCACAGAAGAGATCTAAACAGCAATCAAACAAGCACAGTGTTTCAAGCACAAGTAAATGTTTCTTTTAAGTCTCCTGCAACTTCAGTTTCAATACCCTAAACACATCTAGGTTATTCACAGAGCAATCAACAACCTAATATGACCTAGCTGGGGCTCAGTTCTAAAGCAGAAAGTAGGTTATGCTTGGTTTAACCCCAAACTATGCATTCAGGAAAGCAGAGTTCACGATATTCAAGAACAGATTCATCCTCACCTTGGCCTAGGTGGCGAAGGAGGTGGCAAGGGGAGGTAAGGAGAAGAGAAGGAGGCGAGATGCTCCACGGCGGCTAACCACGCAGGGTTGATCGATCTCCGGGGGTGATGCTGCGGCGGCGTACGGCTCCGGGAGGACTCCAGCTCCTCATCAACGTGAAACACCGGGGCAGGGCGGCTGGAAGGGGCGGCTACGGGTCCATCCCGAAGGTAGTGGACTCGCGGCTGCTCCACCGCACCAGCGGACGATGATGGCTGCTCCGGGGAGCGGCTAGGGCGGTCACCAGAAGGCGGGGAAGATGAACGGCGGGACATGGTGAAGAGAGAGAGGATGCGGCGATGAGAGATAAAGAAAGAGGAGAGAGAGACGGCGGAGAGAGAGTACTATGGCGCCGGAAAAGAGAGAGAAGAGAGTTCTAGGATTTCTCAGTTCTCTGGAAAGTTTAGAATGAAGAAAAAGAATGAGAAGGGCTCTCTATTTATACCCAATGGGAGACTTGGGTAAAAAGTAAAGATAACCACAAAAAAGGAAAAGATAATTATGAATAAGAATATTCACAATTTATTTAGGAAAAGGTTCATTAATATCACATTAAAAATGTAATATTTATCTAAACCAGGAATTAATTATCTCTCGAAGAAAAAAAGAAATATCGAGAAATAGGAAATGGGCTTAAACCGTCTTAGTCGGGATTGAATTTTCCAAACGGGCCTGGTTTGTAAAACCGGGTCGTTACAATTCTCCCTCCCTTAACGAGAATTCGTCCCGAATTCTAAGGCATGAACCTCCACGGCCGGCTTAAGGCGATGAGGAAGACTTGGAAGTCATACCAAAGAAGGCTAAATCGAAATGTTCATAGAACAGAAGACTCAGAAGGCAATCATTTCTAAGAAAGCAAAACTTTTTATTAAATTA